CTTTCCTGGCCAAGAAGAGATGTCGAGGAATGAGATAGCGTCATTACTTTCTTTCTCTATAGTGAAGTTTATTGCTGAATGTGCATCATTGAGGATCTAATTGAAAAGTGAATGTTTCTTCACCTTTTGCTTTCTAAATGTCTAAATGGAGATTTTTTCTAAAGTAATTATTCATTATGAATATTTACTTCCCTAACAGATATTTTGATAATTTGCCATAAAGGAGGACGGAGCGGACTGATGAGCAGTACACCCGCCCTTTGGTCGATAGTCGAACATCTCGTCTACGCCAGAGTCGGCGTAAACTAACAAATGCGAAACGAGCCCCTTGTATTCGTGCTGAGATTTCGTCAGAGATCAGCCCGTTGGGGCTGATGGTACTTCCCAAATAAGTGAAGCGGTCAACGTGCTCTACCACTTCACTTCCTATTTTTAAACTAGGCGTCGATGTAGTCCAGTCCTGTAACATCATCTTGCATTTGGCGGGAGCGAATCGCATGCCAAACATTCGTAGATTGTGGCTCAAGGTGTTTAGAAGACTCTGCATTTCGTCAGCGTCTTCGCCTAGAAGGACTATATCGTCTGCATATTCCAAGTCAACGAGATTATTCCCGGTAGCAAGTCAATCCCTGAGTCGCTGAAGTCACCTAGGGTTAAGTCCATTAACACATCTATGATGAAGTTGAATAGAAAAGGAGATAATGGGCATCCTTGACGGACACCACTGGTCGTCATCAGTTCAGATGACAGCTCGCCGTAAGCCCTCACCTGGCTGTATGAGTACGAGTAGAGTGCCTTAATCAGTGCAATATATTTTCTCGGAATTCCCTTTACAGCCAAGCATCTCCAGAGAACTTCTCGATCGACAGAGTCGAATGCTGCCTTTAGGTCAAGAAATATAATGACTGTTGGACGCCGGTAGGAATTCCTATGTTCTAGAATCTGTCGGAGGGTGAAGATATGATCAATACACCCTCTTCCTGGTCTAAAGCCTGCCTGGCTCTCTCGTGTTTGTGCTTCCCGAGCACCACTCAGTCTACGCATGATTATTGAGCCTAAGACTTTAGATACTATATTAGTCAAGCTAATCCCTCTGTGATTATCACAGGAAGACTTGTCTCCCTTCTTGTATATGGGGATAATCAGTGACTTACACCAACACGATGGGACTTCTTCTGATTCCCAGACGCTGCCTAGTACCTCAGTTAATCCAGACAGTAAGCTGTCTCCACCGTACTTAAATACCTCTGGAGTCATTCCATCAGGTCCCGCTGCTTTGCCTAGTTTCAGATTGGTGACAGCTTTAGTAACCTCAGTTAGTGACGGAGGACCTGTGTCTATATCCCATTCAGGGAGGTGTTGGATGCTCGGAAGGTTGAGCGTGGCTGTGGGCAAATTAAACTGCTCCTCATAATGCTCTTTCCAACGATCCAGTCGTCTATCCTGGGAGCTAATTATAGTGCCATTTTTTTCCGAGATTGTCTCACTGATGATTTGTCTTCTCCCACCCGTTTCCCTGATGAGTCTAAAGAGTTGCCTGGTGTTGCCTATCCTCGAAGCTTTCTCCATCTCTTTGGCTTTTGTCGCCCACCACTGTTCACGGTCCTTGCGGAGACTTTTCGTAAGTTTCCTCTTGTGCAGCTTTCGCTCCTCATTGAATTCGGAGCTCGCCGGAATAAGTCTTCTAGCATCTATCAGTTCGGATGAGGCGGTGGAGATCCAGTGGTTTTTACTCACCTTTGGGTTTACCTTATTCACAGCTTTTACAGCTGTATCTATGGCTGCCTGGATATTTTTCCAAGCTTCTTCAGGGTGAGCACAGCTGTCGAACACAGATATGTGTTTAGCTAGTTCTTCCTCAAATACGGATTTAGTTTCCTGATCGAGCTGGGGACGTGATGGTTTTACCGCCAGCTGTTTCCTACGTCCGTTCAGTCGTAAGCACACCCGAGCGCGGACCAGTGCATGGTCGGTATCTACGCACGTGTTCCAGAAGGAGCGACAATCTCCTACCGACCCACGCCAACGATAGCTTATTGCTATGTGGTCTATTTGTGTCCAGCGTTGGTTTGATGAAGGGGGTCTCCAAGTCAAACAGTGTCTCTCCTTGTGTTTGAAGTTAGTGCTTACAAGAAACAAATGATTATCAGAACAGAACTGTAGGAGACGGTCACCGTTGTCGGTTCGCTGGCACGGAACTCCATAGGTGCCACCGACATCCTTCTCAGATTGACACAATTTCCCTACTTGAGCGTTAAAGTCACCAGCTAGAACGACTATGTCTGAGCGTTTAGCCTTTCCACCAAACTAGACAGCTTTTGGTAGAACTCATCCTTCGTTTCATCTGAACTGCAGTCAGTGGGGGCGTAGGCGGAGATTACGAAAAGGCATCGGCGAGTAGTGCAGTCCTTCCTCCTTCTTACTGATCCGTTCAGGCGGACAGCACACATTCGGCTATCTACCGGGATCCAGTCAAGCAATGTCTTTTCTGCCCTAGTACTCAAAGCTATCCCTACGCCAGCTAATCCTCGTGAACTAGCTGTGGCATCTCCTGACACCCTCAAGGTGAATTTTGCAGATTCAACCTGTTGGCCAGGTGGGGTTAGGTGAATAACCACACTTGGGTCTTGTATGCGTGTTTCTGAAACACAGCATACATCAATGGCTCGTGATGCCAGGGTCTTGGCTAGTGATGCTTGTTGTCCTATTTGGTAAAGTGTCCTAACATTAAGAGCTCCTATATGAAATTGGTGGCGCGGCTTTAAGAGGCTGTCGGTGGTTTTTAAATGGCTTCCATCGTTTTTAGTGGACGCAGAAAAAAAAAAAAGTGGAGAGCTATCAAGTCGAGGAGTTGCATCAGTGGAAGGAAGGCAAGATGATAGAGATGAAGATGAAAACAAAGATGAGTGAGTAGTAGAGAGGTTTCGTGTGCGTTTCGGATTGTGAGGGCGATTGTTACTTCCCGGCTGCCCACACTGTGGAAGTTGGTTGCGTGACCGCAGAGCCCAGGGGACAACTGCTTGAGGCCGGTCACACGCGGCCTGTTTTTGTTTGTTCTTTTTGTTTGGTGTGTCTCAGTAGCAGATTTATCACTCCCGCCCTGTGACACGGCAGCAGGAAGCGCGGTCGTTGTTAATCCGGGCCACGGCCGATCCGGCATGAAATTTTGTAATTTTGTATTGGACATGATGTTGGATTAGGTAGCTGCTTTTTGTTTAACCGTTATCCAAACAACCTACCTGGCATGGTAGGACCTCAAGAGACATAAGTCTCAGCCAGTATAGCTTGAATAGATCACTGCGGTGTTCAAGCCCAACCACCACGTCAAGGTAGCAGCTTTCGGTCGGGATATACTACTTATAAATCCTGTCAGTAGCGTACACCACGACAGTACTATCTAAAATGTGCTAGCTAGTGTAAGTGGTTTTATCTGTTCAAAGTCAATAACCTGCTATAGTATTTCTATGATACAAGCGAATTCATAAGAGAGGACGATGTATATATGTTAAAAACATATAAAGCTTACGACTGAAATTAACCGTCATGTTACTAGGCTATTCAAATACATTAGAACACTTGTGTCCAAATTCCAGTTCATTTATAATCTTGTCTTTGCAATAACTTGCCAACATTTCGGGTTACTTTCAGTTCTGATTTGTAAATATGACTCACTTAAAATGACGCATAGCTGAGTCAGTCAAACAGCATACGATTATGAGCAAAATACTATTTGGGCATATTTTTTTAGTGTTATGTATTTGGAAAGCCTAGTAAGGTGTCGTAAATGTTGATACATCCGCACATTTGATTCATTTATATATCAATGAGTCATGCCTCGGTTGTCCATTCATTTTTTAAATTTTATATACGGTTATATGTAACGAGCTAATATTCAGTATTTTAACTCTATTGGTTATTCCCGTATGTATGATAATAACTAATTGTGTGTATATTCATGCGTGTGGGTGTATGTCCCAGTTCATTTTTGAGCATTATAAAAATTACGTACACTGTGTTTGTCATATACATACATACATACAATACTTGCTGGATTTGAATAAATTGTCATTCTGAATAATAACCACACGTCATAGTTCACTTAATAAATGCTGATTATCTTGTACAAGACGTGCTCGTAGACCATTAAGCCACTGTGACCCAATCCCAATGGCCAGCCCATGAATTCCAACTTCTGACAACACATGATATAGCGCGAGGACTTCGCAATGTCTTCTTCGATGAGTTATACTCCCTCACTATCAACCGGCTGCTACCTACTGGTCACGGTTCCCCACTGGAACCCAATGTAACTGCCTGATGAATAGGATCAGTAGCTAGTGAGCATCAGATCAATTTTCAAGTATTGGTTCTGTAGGGATTTTTGTTTGATTGGATGGAGGATTTTATCGCGAGCAGAAATCATTTAGAGAAACATTGGAAAACCTGGGAGTACTGGACAACTGTTTCGTCCCAGTTTGGGACTCTTCACAGTATGAACCCATCGATCATGAGTAAATCCTCGAACCGATTATAGTAGGTGTTGTATCAGTGGCTCAACAGTAGAACACTTCCCAACCAGACAGAAGGTTCGGCTGGCATTCCCGGTTGACAAACTCATCAACCTCCTCGCCTAGTGTTCACTAGTCGGTAGTAAATCCGGAAAAGAGTGAAGGTTGAGCATGAGCCATCCGAACCTCATTAAAACGACATCAAGAAATGAAAAAAAAAGTAAATTGAGATTTCAAAATGAAGATATATTTGAAATGATAATGGCAAAATGAAGGCAGTAACTTTCATCAAATGCGTATAGGTGCGTGATAGGGTTCATGATTCTAGGATGGACTGATCATAATGAAAAGAATTCTGATGAAAATGACATTTTAAACAAATGTGAATTAATGTTTTAATATGACGAACAAGGGGGGGGCGGCGTAACAACTTTTGAACTAAACCAAAAATGCATGTAAATATATAAAAAAAAAACCCAAAAAAGTAGTATTTTATATAAAAGAAAATGATGGCAATTTCATTTCATCTGTTAGCATAGCTGTATCACAATCACAGTGTAATAATTCAGTAAGCTGTCCAATTGTCATACTCATTAATTGTTCTCTATCTTCACTAGGGCCAGCAACTCCCAAAGCAGTAGAACAAGTTCGTTTTGTACCAGCGCCAATCATACACTCTGTATCTAAATTATACGGACCAACTTTTGTATTACGGCAATGTGATGAATGTAGAGTGGCTTCAATACTATCTTTAACCAAGAAACGATGAACAATTCCAGGTCTAAATAATAATTGGGTAAAATTCATAAACCAAAAGGATTATTATTACTATTATTAATACTATATAGATATGTGTTAATTCATTTTATGACAATATTATTTAAGCATCGTTATAGTATGAAATAATTAAGTGATTATGATGACTAAACATTATAATGAAGGTTTTCTTGTATTTCCCAATGAATGAAAAACAATACGATAGATTTTGTTTTTACTGACGTTTCGCTATTTAGTGCTAATAGCTTTATCAAAGTATTATTCATGATTAGGCATTGACTTCTGTTTAGCTTGACTTCCTTTATGTTAGTCAGTCTTGAAATCAATCTTAGTGAAGCCCTCACTTATTTCAGATTATAATACGTTTATATATATATATATATATATATATATATATATATATATATATATATCCTGCGATTTCTTGATACACACACACACTAATGACAAATATAGAACGAAAACACTCACTACTGGGACTCTAGCAGTCAGCTTAATGAAACTGCCCAAGTTAAAACTTACTATACACTGAGCAGTCACCATCCACCCATTGAGTTGGGAGTTATTATACGCTTAACCAAATTCAGACAGACAACAGTCGGTAAATAAGGGCTTATAAATATACAAATACATGTAATTATCGCGAAGTTTAAAAGGCTAATGGAAAAAATATCGCAATAATCATTTTTTCCCCTCTCTCTCCTGATTTTCTGTAATGCTTACTCACTTCCTCTAAACTGAAATAGCATTACTGATAGGATAGGGAGGGTTTCAATTATTATTACTAAAATAAAACCACGAAACACTGTGGGCACTAATAGATTATTATTATTATTTATTATTGCTCCCTTGGGTTCCTAGTGGAACATAGGGCTTCAACTGCACGTCTCCATTTTCTTCTGTCTTCTGCTGTACTTTTCGCCTGCATCCATGTTAATCCATATTCTTTCAACTCCTCTTCACACGATCTCCTCCATGTCACCCTTGGACGTCCCACACGCCGCTTCCCTTTCGGGTTCCACTCGAGGGCTTGGCGCGCGATGTCACCCAGCGGTCTCCTCAGCGAGTGTCCGATCCATCTCCACTTTCTCCTGCATATTTGTTGGGCGATTGGTTCTTGCTTTGTTTGTTCCCATAATTCCTTGTTGGTGATTCTTTCCGGCCATCTGATCTTCAGTATTGAGCGAAGACAGTTGTTAATAAAGGTCTGCAGCCTTTTGGAAATATTCTTTGTGACCCGCCAAGTTTCTGATCCGTATAGAAGAACTGACTTTACGTTTGTATTGAAAATCCGAATTTTGTTGGTGATGCTGAGTGACGAAGATTTCCAGATTGATTTCAGGCTGATGAATGTGTTTCTCGCCTTCCCGATTCTCGCTCGATTTGACATCCTCGTCCGCTCCTCCTGTAGTTGAGACAATGCTCCCTAGATAAGTGAATGAAGTAACCTCTTTCAAATCCCTCCCGTTGATGGTGATTGACGTTGGATGTTGTTGCTGTTGTTGGTTGGTTATTTTCATAACCTCCGTCTTGTCTATGTTTACCTGGAGTCCTGTCTTTGCTGCTTCTTCGACCAGTTTGTCGGTTTTCGCTTGTAAGTCTTCGATTGTGTGTGACATCAAACATAAATCATCCGCGAAATCCAGGTCTTCTAGGTTCTTCACGTCGGTCCAGGATATTCCTGTCTTCTCGTTTCCCACAGTCTGACGCATAATCCAGTCCACCACAATTAGGAATATCATTGGTGATAGTAAGCACCCTTGTCTGACTCCTGTGTTTACTCCAAACGCCTCGCTGAGTCTTCCGTTGTGGATCACTTGGCAGGTGCCGTTGTCGTACAGCTGTTGAATAAGGTTGATGAATATTTGGGGTACGCCATAGTACTCGAGTAATTTCCAAATTACTTCACGGTCAACGCTGTCGAAGGCCTTCTCAAAGTCTATAAAGTTGAGGTAGAGGTTTGATTGCCATTCCATGCTTTGTTCTGTGATGATGATGCGTAGAGTTGCAATTTGGTCAGTACATGATTTGCCTTTCCTGAATCCAGCTTGTTCTGGTCGGAGTTCTGTCTCCAGTGCGTCCTTTAATCTCTCCAGGATGATGCGACTCAGGATTTTACTTGGCGTCGATAGGAGCATGATTCCTCGCCAGTTCTTGCAGAGTCCTAAGTCGCCCTTCTTTGGTAGTTTCACGAGGTAACCTTTCCTCCAGTCAGTAGGCACCTTTCCCTCCTTCCAGACCTTTTGCAATAATGGAGTCAGCATGTCTGCTGTCGTCTCTGGGTCCGCTTTCAGTGCTTCAGGGGGTATTCCATCTGGTCCGGCTGTTTTTCCAGCTTTCAGAAGTTTGATTGCGTTCAAGACTTCAGCTCTCGTTGGAGGATTGGTGTCAACTTGCAGTTGTGTGCGCGCTGTTGTTGGTATTTCTGGACGGGTTGCAGGTGATGGTCGGTTCAAGAGTCCTTTGAAGTGATCCGCCCATTGTTTAATCTGTTTTTCTTCCTTGGTAATGGGCTTCCCTTGGCTGTCTTTTATAGGTTTCGCTTGTGTTGGTCTCTTCCCGGATAGAGATTTGGTTATCTGATATAGTGTCCTCAGGTCCCTTTTGCCTGCTGCCTTTTCAGCTTCAGTAGCTAGATTGTCGTAGAATCGTCTTTTGTCCTTCCTAGCACTTTTCTTCACTTCTTTGTCCAATGCTTTGTAAGTTGAGCTCATCGTCTCCTTCTCCTGTCCGTCCTTGCATTGAATCATTTTCTCTTTCACCATTCTCCTCTCTTCTATTAATTTCCAAGTGTCCGTTGAGAGCCATTCCTTGTCTTGTCTCTTCTTTCTTCCTAGAACCGTTGAACACGTTTCGTTGAGAATCGCCTTCAGAGACTTCCAATGTTCTTCCACGCATGATTCTTCAGTGATGTCGCGTAGTGTTTCCTGCTTTGCTCTGACAGTTGCAGTGAAGGTGTCTTTTGTGGTTGTGTCCTTCAGTAATTGAGTGTTGAACTTGCATTGTGGCCTATCCCCAGCTATCCTCGAGGCTTTTAGTTTCACCTTGAAAGTCCCTTCTACTAGATAGTGGTCTGAACCCACATCTGCTCCTCTCCTTGACCTTGTGTCCAGTAGGCTCCGTCTCCACTTTCTTGAAATTGAGATGAAGTCTATTTGATTCTTGGTGTTTCCATCTGGTGAAATCCATGTCGTCTTGTGTATATCCTTGTGTTTGAACACACTACCGCCAATCACCAAATCATTGAAGGCGCAGAAGTCTGAGAAGAGTTCACCATTGTCGTTCATTTCACCGAGGGCCTCACGACCCATGGTGAGTTCTCTTCCTGTGTTGTCTCCTCCCAGCTTCGCATTCATGTCGCCCATCAGGATTTTGATATCGCCATTTGGGACGTTGTCCATTATTGCTTGTAGTTGTCTGTAGAACGCCTCCTTCTTCTCTTGTTCTGAGACGTTTGTAGGCGCATAACATTGAATGACTGTAACTTTCCTTCCTTTTGAGTTGAACCTGGCTGTCATTATCCTGGAGGAGATTGGTTCCCACTGCATGAGAGCTTTGGTTGCTGTTGGTGACATCATGATGGCCACTCCCTCGGTGTGCTCATGGTTGTCCTCTAGGTGGCCGGAATAGATTACTGTCTCTCCAGTAGGTAGTTGGCACCTTCCAGTTCCGTTCCATCTGCTCTCGCAGATTCCCAACACTTCTATTCTGTACCTTCTCATTTCAGCGGCTATCTGGGCAGCCTTTCCAGTTTCGTACATTGTACGAACATTCCAGGTACCCATCCTTACTTTTGCTTTCATCGAAAGAAGGCACATCGGCTGACTGGCTTCCCGAAGGCTTTCACCAGCCTGCGTCATTTCACTTCCCCGATTCCAGCGAAAAGTAAGGCTATTGCTTATGTTTTTAGAATTTTTAATATATTTATTCGTTGAAGTTTCTGTAGCGATTTGGTTGTTTTACAGGGGTGGAGTTGCTAGCACCACGCCCCAACCCTCCCTCTTTACCCGGGCTTGGGACCGGCGAGAAAACTAGTAAGCTAGTAGCCTAGCAAGCTAGTATCTGGCGCCACACAAAATCTCATCGTTTATACGAAGGCTAGGATACTACCCGGACGCCCAAACTGAAGTACGCGGTTGTCTTATTGACCACATCCTTCCTCGTCGAGCCTTTGACTTGAAATCTGATCCACAAGGCGATTAAGCGGCGTCAGCAGCTGAGTCCGTTTGGTTTCCGGTGAGTGAAACCGGTCCATATACCGCTCAATCCTTTCAAATTATCAAGCCTTTGTACATCATAGATTTGGAGTCAGGGTTTCCCAGCTATTCTTAGGAGAGACCACCATGTCCACCAGCCTGTCTTTAAGCAGTTGACTTTCGTATTTGTCCTTTCACATGTGAGAAACACCCTCGCTGTATGGCGGTGGTGAATGGGACTTACATGACAGAGGCTTTGAGCTTGTGGTCACAGGAGAGCATTGCGAGGAGAGGACCTAAATCTACCAACCCGCCTCCCCCTCCCGAGGCGACACAAGGTAGTTCATTGGGGCAATATATCTTGCTATAACTGATGAATACACTGGCCACGGAGCATAAATGCATCGGAAAATTAGTAAAGTACAACTAATTTTTACCATATAAGTATAAAACTTGGGCACTGTGGTAGAGTATAATTCCATTATAGATAAGATTTTATTTAGATAAATCCCACAGTGTTTACAGTTATATGAACTGATGACGTTTCGAGCACAAACTATTGCTCATAATCATATCATATCATATCAACTTGATATGATTATGAGCAATAGTTTGTGCTCGAAACGTCATCAGTTCATATAACTGTAAACACTGTGCGATTTATCAAAATAAAATCTTATCTATAATGGAAGTAATTTTTACCATTCTACTATATATTTATTCATGCTTTTTTCTAATACTAATTGGGCCACTCTAGTTAGATGCTTCTTTTCAATGAAAGAATGAGAAAACGATAAGAAAAAATATCAAAATATTAATACTCAAGTGTCGGTGGCACAGAGGTTAGGACGCTCGCCGACTGTGCATATAGTCCTGGGTTCGACCACCGGCCACCGGCGCACTTCTTTACCTCGCTAAGCCACTAATAATGCTGGTAAAGAGGAAAAGTTGGGGATGAGGCTAGCAACCCTATTCTGTTAAAATAAACACCACTGCTACAGAAACTTCAAGCCTCTAGCTTGAGGCCCTATGTTCCACTGGGAACATGAAGGAAAAAAAAACACTCAAGAAATCCAAGATACCGGAAAACCTCTTTACAAATTATACTCTAAATTTACTACACTTTCAATAGGAGATTAAACGAAACTTATGTAAAGAGAAGTATTATGCAACTCAATATAAATAAATACCTTGTTTGTCCAATTCTGTGTATTCGAGCAATTGCTTGCGCTTCTCTTGCATGTGATAGCACTGGATCAATAAATAGTACATGATTTGCTGAAGTTAAATTTAAACCATTTGCACCGAGTTGAACAGGCATTAAAAGTATCCATGTTGTTGAACCAAAACACTGAAAACCAGCTAACCTTCCAGGGCAACATGCATCACGTGCATGGAATAAAGTTGTATAAGATAAACCATTTTGATCTAATGCTTCAGCTAATGTTACTAGGACTGCTAACCACTAAAATTATAAAATAATATTAGTAATTCAAGAGGGAACAAGATAAACTAAATGAATATTCGAAAATCACATAAGAGAGAAGAAGCTTTAACAGGTTAGAATTATGAAAGGATGTTTCCGTAATAAATTCTTCCTTCACACCGACGTTTAATTTTATTATCGGTCTAACTGCTGACAAAAGACAATGCAATTTTTATTTTTATTTTTTGATTACAGCTTGATTCCACACCGTATTTTTGGTACAAGTATGGAATTTTCAGCGTGGATATCGGTAGCCCAAAATTCGCAGGCCGACCGTAGATATCAGGTGTGCGTCGGCGAGGGCTCGAACCCGGGACCATGTGCATGGTCGGCGAGAGTCCTAACCATTGTGCCACCGACGCAACTAGGCGTTAAGTTGAAAACTACAAAAATTTTCGGCAAAGTTGAACTTTAAGCACCACTAATCACCAATCAGCGAGTGGTATTGAACGCACTAACCAAAAGGAGGTATTTTTGGGTATGAAAAATATATATTTATTTAAAAAATGAATAAAAACTGTAGAAAAGTGTTACATAGAATGCCTTTCTCTCAAATGTGATAAAAACATATCACAGTCTAGCATAGGAGTATTAATGAAAAAGTTAGACCACATCCTATATATATATATATATATATATATATATATATATATATATATAAATGACTATAAATGACATCCTTTTGAGATCCATTAATGGCTCTAATCCGACTTTTTAATATTTCCCAAAAGCCTTCGATAGAATTAGTGTGGGTCCCTGTAACGAGATCCACAAAATCATTAGAATGGTTGAATCTTTAGTGAATATATGCAAGGGATGACAAGGGGTTATAGTCTTTCCACTACTCTGTGTGTATTATAGATATTTATTTCACCAGTTGAGTAATAATAGGTATTAAAGTACTTGACTTTCTATTTGCTATCCTTCCGACGAATCCTTCCTGTAGAGAGGTATCATATAAACCAATCACCCATTATTTGCTCGTTCTTGACAACGGTTATATTTTTTCTTTAATAAGACAATTTCTTATACATGTATGACGACAGCCTTCTCCAAATAGGGGAGTAATCCTCTCCACTTTCTAGGATGCGATATCCCTGCAGTGCTGGTACCACTGAACTGTTGATACGAGACCATTTTCAGTTTCACCAGTTGCACTTCTCACAGACTGTTTTAAAACTCAGTTATTACAAATATACAAAATCTGGGTTAAGGATAGATGGGACCTGGCAAAAAGTGTTTCTACGAAATATGAGAATCATCAGGTGACCTTCCCTGACACTAAATTAGCTCAAACAAATTGCACAACGATGCACATGTCCATAAACAGACCTGCTGAAGCTTTTTATAGTCATCACACCTTGATATAAACAAAGCCTTTCTTTCCTAATCAACCCCACATCTAAGCAATACTGGAAGACCTGGACACCTCAACAAATTGCAAACGCGATTGAGGCATGGTAGGCGTTTGACTCGAATCAAGCGGAATAGAAGCTTCAAATCGCGTGAATAAAATTCACTGTATCATTCAAGGCTAATGGTGTGGTCGCACTCCATTGGTAGTTAGTGGTGCTTACAGTTTAACTTCGCCAAAATCTTCGATTCAAGAGTTCACAAACCCACTGATCGAAAATCTTTAGATTTTGTTTCAGTCTACTTGGTGACAAAATCAAGCATGGTGGCAACATAGTTTATGCAGTTATTACAAAATTTTAAGATCAAGTTACAGATACATTTTAATCTTCAGGTGCTAATGAACGTAACACGTTAGTTACTTGGATCTCAGCTATCCGGGACATATTTTCCAGAGTGGAGGCCACATATATTGTGTGAGGGATGCTAATGCTACCCATGTTATGGTGGTGTTTGCAGTAAGGCAGAGTGGCATGGGAACTCAAAATACACAGCTTATATTGGCAAACAATACAATTTAAAGCCTATTATCAATCGCAATATGACGATATAAGTATTGTGAGCAATGCTAGGCTAAAAATTGAGAACTTAAATAATGAAAGAAGCAGTTTATACGTAAGTTGGTAGATGAACAGAATTAAAATGACTGACTGAGTTTCAACGTAAGAGGTTGAACGGAAATCTAGCGGTTCAAGTCGTCACACTCCATGTAGTACACACAAAAACAGAAAAGAAAACAAGGAATTCATAAAAAAACACAACTATAATGACCAGAAATGTATGGGATAAAGAATAGTTGATATGGAAAAATATAACGATTTAATAGGGTTGGAAGATTTCAAATAGGCCATGTATCTGAGCTAGTGAGAATGGTTTTCCGCCATCGGTTTTCGGTGCCGCAATGGAACCAGCCAGACAGTCTATACCTTCGTAGATGATTCAAATCATCAGCCAAGGACTTCATGAACTGATACTATGTTTTTGAATTTGACTGTTCCTAACTCTTTCCCAACCCAACCTTTTGTCAACCAACATTACTTGTCAAGGAAAGAGTGTGGTGGTGTGATATAGACAATGTGTTCCAACGGAATATGATTCACACATATTTACGCAGTTCAATACTGCGTTAACAACAGAATACTATGTACATTTGAACATTCTATTTCATTTCGTTTAATGTAAACCAAAATCATACGCTTCCGTATCTTGCCTTCTGTCGTTACAATAGGAGGCATGGCATGCGGATCTAGTATCCCAGCTATCTCAACCAATGTAGCCTCGAAACCACTGCATGAGCCGAACCTAAATTACTCGCTAAATTATACCGCTTAACACGAGGAACAGAACGTAAAAATCCGTGGGCAAAGATAGCTAGTCTCTTCATATCTTCCACTTTCAATGGTCATGCCTCGCAGCCATAAAGGATAATACAACTAATTTCTGCACTCAGCATCAAAAATAAGATCCGGATTTTCAACTCCAATGTGAAGTCAGTCAGTGATACTATACGGATCAGAGACTTGCACTGCGCGTCATAAAGAGCATCTCAAACAAACTTCAGACCTTCATCAACAGTTGTCTTCGCTCAATACTCAAGATCAGATGGCTGGCCAGAAAAGATCAGTAACAGGGATCTCTGGTAATGAGCGAACCAACCCATCAGGAACCGATTGTGAAACAAATAGGCAGGAAGAAACGGAGATGGATTGGCCATACTCTGAGAAAACAAACCATCAAGTGACATCACTAGACAAGCCATTGCTCGAGTGGAACCCGAAAGGGAGGCGGCGAGTTGATCGTTAGTGCAAGAGTGACTTGGAGGAGGTCATGTGAGGAGGAGATGAAAGCATGTGGGCAGACTTGGAGCGGGGTGAAAAAGTTGGCAGAAAACCGAAGGCAATGGAGATGCGCAGCTGAAACCCTATGTTCCTCTAGGAATTAAAGGATAAAATAATAATAATAATAATAATAATAATAATAATAATAATAATAAACATCTCCTTTGATACATAGCCAGACATCACGTCTATTTCAGAGATCATGTAAGTTATCAATGTTGCAGAAGCCTTACCGAGATTTTATCGCTAATCAGTCGATCGGGGTTGTTACAACTTCCCAAATAAGCAAAGTAATCAACACGCTCAGCCTCATATCTATACACTGGAAGCCAGTTCGGACTGGTCCTAAAGCATCACATCTTACATTTGATGAGAGTGAATCAACTGCATATCATGGTGTTCAGAAGACTCTGCAACTTGTCAGCGTCTTTACCAAGGACAACAATACCATAAAGAGAATTAAACTACTGTAACCATCAATAAAAAAGCACTATAGAAGTACGTAGGGACTCTAGTAGACATAATGACTGAAAAATGACTTTTTTGAGAAACAAACAAATGAACAGACTTGACTTACAGAACTGAAAACAATAGCTTTAGCATCTGGATCATCACGTTTAATCGCTTTTAAACATCGTATAACAGCTCTCACTTTTGTGCTATGATCACCCTGATGATGATAAATTAAAGAAAGTATTTGCACAGTTTTGCAAACAAGTAACATTTAAACACTCTAAGAATGAAGAAGTAAAACAAATGATCTAATCAAACAAAGCAAAATTAAATGCCATTATTATTGGTTTGAGAATATTCATGTTATGTATGATATTACTATAATTATTATTCCCCCTAGATTCCTAGTTGAACATAAGGTTTCACCAGCAAGCCACGCATGCTATTTCCCTCTGTTCTCTGTCGTATTTTCTTTTTGTAGCTTACCCCACAATTGTCCATAGGCTTGCACCTCTTTCAACTGATAACGATCTCCTCAATTTCACTTTGTATGCCCCTTTATTTATCGTTCTCCATTCGCTTTCCACCATCACCTTCAGTTCTTGGGACTAGACAGTTTAGTGATGAAGTTTCTATTGTCACACTGAAAAAAACACTCACGTTAAACTTAAAAAAAAATCAAATATGAGAAGTTGTCCATGAATGGCTTGAGAGGCCAGAGTAGTAGACTTTATAATAGTTACTTAGTCACATTAATAATGACCATTGAGTGACTGCATACAGGATGAAGTCTCCTGGAGTTCTAGTGAGCGCTCGTGAACAGTGGAGTTCATCATATTCGGTAAATACTCGTCGATGACATCGGTTGGTGGTCTCACTAAAATCACTAATTGGCAGAAGTTGGAATTCGTAGGCCATTGGGCAGGTTACCAGTTACTGAATAGTCTACAAAAGCTTGACTTGTGACTGCGACTTCTTGGGTTTGAACTCCAATAGGCGTGTACTTCTGAAGAGTCCCAAACCAGGACGAAACACTGGTTTTCAATAGCTCGCTAGTTGACATCAACTCTTGATCAAACTTGAAAGAATTCAATTTTCAACTTCAACATCTAGTTTCAAGAGGCTTAATTGAGCAGGCGTTCCGCTTCTTCAATTAAAAGACACTAGAATCCGTCGTGGCACAGAGGTTAGGACGCTCGCCGACCATGCATATGGTCCGGGGTTCGATCCCGGCCGACTCACTCCTTTACCTCGCTAAGCCAGAAATAATGCTGGCAAAGAGGAAAGGTTGGGAATGAGGCTAGCAACCCCATCCTGTAAAATAAACACTGCTACAGAAACTTCAAGCCTCCAGCTTGAGGCCCTATGTTCCACTGGGAACGTGATGGAAAAAAAGAATCCGTCGTAAATGTGAATTCTTATTCACAGTTAAAAAATACTCACTGATATCAGAGGAAATGATGCTTTGAATTATAATCGCAAAACTAAGGTTCACTTAAGAGAATATAAAACCACAGATAGATTTGTTGTAAATAATACTTGTTCACAGCTTATTCCTAGAAGATTATGTTTTGTTTTTCAATTTAAATAACATAGGACATGACAAGCCTATTAGTTACACGCTTGATCAAAAGCTGAAAGCTGTTAGAGAAACAGTGGAAACTCGGGAATTACTCAACAGCGGTTTCATCCTAGCCTGAGACTCTTCAGTAGTACACAACCAACGAGGTTTATACCCAGGAACCACCAGTTAAAGGGGAAACTCTCAGATCATTCAGTCACTAGAACGCGATCCAATGGTCTGTTAATCTCAACTTCGACCAGTTCGTGATATATAGCGCAACAGCTAGACACTGTTAGCTGACTTGGTGAATCTCGCTGGTTACGACTTGTCATTAAAACTCCAGGTGACTTCCCATATAGAGCCAGTCGCTAGTGTGCATCAGCATAATTATCAAGAGCACTGGAGAGTTGTTTTGTCCTAGTTTGTCACTCATCGTCAGTAACGCACACTCACCCATAGAAACCCCAGTACTTCCTGGTTTTTCAATGGTTCTCTAACTGATGTCAATTCATGATCAAATCTGTAACCAGACAAATCCCTACAAGACAACATTTGTTAAAAAAAACCTATTGAATTATGAGTTTTGTAGGAATACGGATTAATTCCAATGTCCCTGGTTGTTGGTAACGTTATATCACGAATTGACAAAGTTAGGATTCACTGATCACTTAATTCCAACCAAAGTGTTTGAATGGTCGATGAGCTCGAACTCGTCATCGGATGGTCTTAGGTTAGATTCCTGGTGGGATCGTGGTCACGAGCTGATGATGAATTCGAAAATGGGACGAAACACCTGCTTAGTGTTCCTTGAATTTCAATGATTCCCAAACCGATGTTGATTCGTGAGGAAATCTGGATTAGAACTCTTCAAAATCATGGGAAGTAGCAAAGCAAAGAAATATAAACGGTTTCAAAACATCGTTCGAACTAAAATACATCAGAGATTCTTTATGATCAGTTTGATAACAACTAATCAATAAAGTTGCTAAACCTAGGAATATTTTTGGATATATAACCGTTTATTCACCATATGTGGATGTAACAATCGACTTACGCTTTTCTAATGTTGATTAAATACTATACATTAAATCACAGTTACACACTTTCACGTTTATCGTGATGATAACTTGATGTTATTTCGAGGATGGTGGCTAGCACAGTGTAATGCAGGGTGCACATTTCGTCTAAATCGGGACTCTTCAACTGGACTAGGGTTCCTGAAATCCTCAATGAGTGATGGTTAGTCCTCAGACACAGTCGAACTGTCCGTATTAGGAACTGACATGTCACCAGACACCCAACGTTTTGGTTCAATGTAATCAATCAAGAGGAGGTGTAAAATAGGCTTAAACAAATGATGATAACTGTTATATTGTGTAATAATAAGATTTAAATTAATCAAGAAGCTTGAGGACCAATCAATTCACGTGATTATGTATGTAAGCTACAGACTACCTAGCAGTTAGCTGGAAATATCTGACACTATCATAAATAAGACAGAATACATCTTCTGCCCTAGCATACCACTTCTTCTAATTTCATGACGGTTAGGAAGATTAATGATGTGGCGTTTATGCTCTTACCACACTCACTAACAACATTAGATACATAATAGCTCAACAAGCATAAAACGTGAGTCCATAGCTTGCTAACGACTGATTTTGTTCTTTAATATCCAATATCAAAATTTCACGGTACCACGGTGGTATATTAGTCAACTTACTGGCTACCTACACTGTCAGCCTACAAGTAGATAACCATTAAGCATACATTCATCAGTCACTAGAATGAGTAACCGAAGTCAAATGTTTAGGTCTTCATATTGCTGCTGAATGGATTTCATTGGTGGTTAGGAATCATCAATCTCGGTGACCAATAACTGTAAAGACGTGGAAACCCGTGGATTGAAGCCTTAAAATATAAGCTTTGACCTTTACCTTCTGACTTATAGAAGATGAAATTACCTCTAACTTACCACTATATTCAAGTCTTCTTCGATGTCTTCAGATTTCATTTGATTTTCTTGCTTTGTTTCATTACCACCATAGTGAATAAGTGTTAAAGGTCGTCGACGTCGAGCATTCATACCTGTATTTTCTTTTGATTCAAATGGTGTCCGACAGATAGGACAACGTCGTTGAGCAATTTCACTCATTGTAGCTATACGATGATGACAATTTAGGCATAAACTATGCCAGCAACCCGGTAGTAAAACAAACGTTGGTGTTTTTGCAGAATGTGGTTGAAAACAGGTAGGACATTCAATTGGACGACTTCTTGTCCGTTCACTAGGATTTGGATTATTTTCATCTGTAGATAAACCAGTCACTGCTGACAAATAAGCGTTGCGCAGAAAATTATAATGACCAAGACGAGACTGTAGTCGGGGCCATATCACATCAGCTTCAACTAAAGAATCAAATAGTTGGCGATCAACCTGTAAGAAGAAGAAGACAGACAGACAGTAGGATGGATTCAACGCATTATAGACGATAAATTCGCTAACTATCTAGTATTAAAAAGAAAAAAGACAAAACAGAAAGTAAATTACCTCCTCTTGATGAATAAATGCTAAATCTGTAGGGGATGTTGATTGCAGGCGAACAACAAACTGTTCAGTATCATCGTGTATATTCCACCATTCTTTGGTCACAGATTGTGTACGACTTGTTAACTAAAAGAAATCACAACAAAAGGTACATACATACAAACTTATTTACTTGTTTCGATAAAGTAAGCATAAACAAATCATTCCTATGACTTCAGTTATTTCCTTTTGACATCTGGATAGAATAAAATAAACGGTAGGTACGGAACACTCATATTTTGACATACTACCTAACACACACACACACATACATTAACCTTCCAACCTCATAAGTTGTCTGGAAGTTACAACTAAACAGGTGGATTAACCGCCAGTCCACCCAAGGGGTCCTTAAAAACCTTCATTCTAAACCTGAGATGACAGGGGGGATCAAAATCCGAATGAATCAAATGGTGTATGAACTTGTTTTGGTTATCGTCAACCATAGAAATGTAAGTACTGATGCTGCTCCATTGCCTTTTGGAAGAGATTTCAAGTAAAAGGCTAGAGGAGTGAGGTTGTTCCTTTAGGGAAACTACTTGCTTCGGTCTGAGAGTTCGAGGAGTATCCTAGCTCTTGTAAAAAAAACCATGAGATTTTGTATGGTGCGCATTTCCTGATCCGCATGATGTACCGAGTTTATGTTATAATAAATGATAGATATGAAGTAAATTCTCCTCTTCAGGTTATTACAAATACCATAAAATATATTGACTATCTCTTTAGCTAATGGGTTTTTGTAAGAATTTTATTTATTTAATTTCTATGCAGATTTCGTCATAAACCAACATTAGTTAAAGATCATTGAAAATCAGCATAGAGCACTGGACAGCTGTTACGTCCTAGACTGGGACTCCCCATTTCAGAAGTGTGCCCCCACGACTCCAGTAGGGAGGGGGGGAACCTACGACCTTCACATCCACCTTCAGCTCACTGATGGCTACTGGGTGGAGGTGTTCACAGAAAACAGTATATCAAAGGACGACTATCATATATATACATTCTATGCATGGACTAGAAAAACATTTCATCATGACATGACACACTGATTTTTAGGCTTTCAGAAAGCAAAGAAATGCTTCCTTCCATGAAAGCATTTTGGGGAAAACCTACGATCATAAGTGTTTTCAGTATTATATAAGATTCTACCTTGAAGTTAAATAATTTGAGAACCATTTTTTCTAAATGGAATACACTGAAGCGACAACTGATGTGTCCTTACCAACCGTAAAACTTTCATTGATTTCCCAATTTTACGGTTTTGAGGCCTTCAATGAATGTAACATAATAATATAGATGCAAGAACTGTGAATAACTGACTTATTGGAACTAATTTAGCTTTAAGTATTTCCAAGGGAATTAATTATTACATCTTTTGAGGTGATTAGAACAGTAAACACCTAGTGATGACAACTCAACCTACTCTAAACATCTATCTCCTTCATTCATTTATGAATTGGTATATTGATCGGGGTTAAGACGAGATCTAATGAATTTATACATGACCATCCATTCATCCATCCCTCTTACAAAAAGATAAACAATACCTACAATTAATACTATGAAAATAAACCCTATAGTTTCAAAGATAGAGGTGTTCAAAAAGCAGAGTGACAACTTACTAATATCTCTCTTCCCATTAAACGTATTAATTGTTCTAGACGTTTAGCTTTTGCTTGATAATAAATCTTTGAAAATGGTAATTCACTTGCAGGAGTATTTGATAAAAGTCTGGAGAGTTGTTGGCATACAATAGACAATGACATAACTAATGGATTATTTAAAATAAGACCAGTTCCTGCTGCTTCTATAGCGGCCATAGCAGTAGATGATCTCTCTAATGTCTCTGAATTATCATCAACATCAAATTCATAGATAGTTGGACGATGAGGGATAGATTTTTCACGTTCATGGTTTAGTGCACGTTGATAATCCCGTAGGGCTCTTAAAGCAATACAATAAGCACAATGTGTTTTCTTTGGTGAACGACGATTCCCAGGAGTAGTACCATTAGGCTGAGATTTTTTTGTTTTCTCCTCTAATGATTTAGCTTTAGTCTTCTTTTTCTCTTCTTTTCGTTTATTTTCATCATCTGTATCATAAAGTCTAGCACAACATTGATAAAATGGTTGTAGAATATTTTGATCAACTTCATGACCATTCTGGAAAGATATTGAAAAAATCAAAGAGAAGGAGTAGGAAGTGAAGAAAGAAAAATTTGGAAAAATTCAACTTCGAAAATACAGATAAGCATAACACTGATGTTTGATTAGTAAATTATATTATTATTATTGCTCCCTTGGGTTCCTAGTGGAAAATACGGCTTCAACTGCACGTCTCCACTTCCTTCTGTCTTCTGCTGTACTTTTCACCTGCATCGATGTTAGTCCATACTGTTTCAACTCCTCTTCACACGATCTCCTCCATGTCACCCTTGCACTGACGTCCCACTCGCCGCTTCCCTTTCGGCCTGGTTCCATTCGGGCGATGGCCTGACGCGCGATGTCACCCAGCGGTCTCCTCAGCGAGTGTCCGATCCATCTCCACTTTCTCCTGCATATTTGTTGGTTGGAGATTGGTTCTTGTTTTGTTTGTTAGTAAATTAGTCAAATAATATACTCTTCTTTTTCTTTTTCATTCCCATCCAGTGGAATATTAGGGGTTTTAAAACTCAAGAGCTTTGAAGCTTTAGTTGTTGTGGTATTTATTAGTCGTTTTTCATAAGTTGAGATTACTAGCTTCACGGTCAATCTACCTTCCCTTTTTTTAAACTGGACTGACTTACTACCGGTTAAGCAAGGTTTCTGAGTGATAGGTAGGAGGATGTCTGAGAGAGCCATTTGGCCATTTGGCATGATATGGGGAATTTGTCACATCCAAAATTCGACGTAGTGGTACGTTCTCTTTGTGTACTTTCGGCAGACCATATTAACGGCGAATCACGGAACCTGAGGGTCGTATTTGCTGAAATAATTCAGAGCTGACAATCGATTCGTTCTTCATCCTCTTCAGTATTTGTGTTATCTTTCCTTCAACCTGTTCCGTTTGGTCTTTCTGGCTAATTTCTTTTGAAAATTTGTTTTCACCTACCTGACATGACGGATAAAATTTTATCCATGTAGTCTTGACATTGTCCTGATGGATCGCCAAGACATCCGCCTACCTATCAGAAATAACCTCTGCAAGCATAGTGTGTTTCTGAGCCGGCTGCGAATCGAACTCGGACGACGTATGCCGACAAAAGATAATTACTGTCTTGAATGATTACCTTTCTCATCTTCAAGACTACGGCTATTTCAACAAGCACGGCGGAATACAAAAAATGAAGATATATACAAGTAGAGTGGCAGCCACGGAATTGTGTCCTAATTAATTGTGAAGCTTCATATAGAAAACATTTCGGTAACACTAAAAAACAACAACATAAAACACCACAATATATTCCCAAACTTAAATTGTTCTGTACAATTTTAAATAACGCTAAAGTCGGCGTAGGTAGATGATTCAATGTTTACACTAAGCATCGGGTGATGATACAACTTACTTCTAAACACCTCTCAGGTTAAACTAGCACGCTACTAGGGTACGAGTAACAACAAGGCATAAAATTCGAAAAAGCAATTTTATGTGATCTAACCTAGTACCTGCCTACACAGGTGACTCTAAAGTGGTCCAAACAAAAATACCACATAGCAATTTTTTCAGTCCATAATTTATTGTTCTTATGTGCACATTGTAAATGGTCTATTTCGACAAAATCAGCATCGTTGTTAAGAAACGCTGTAGAGGAAGTTACCTTTTTCACTTAACTGGTTTTGGGCAGTACGGTTTCAGCCACAAGTGGCACAAATGATGATTTCAGTCAGTTAGGATAGGAAAATCAAGACAGATTTTGTTTAATCTGAAATTATCCTTGAAGTCCAATGCACTCGGATTTAGAATAGGGAACAAGATTCGGATTAGCAATTTCAATGCTAAATCAGTGCTTCTATATGCTTCAAAGACTTGACATGTCACCAAAAGGATTTCCAACAGGCTTCAAACTTCCACTAACAACAGCTCTCATCGCCCGATATTGAAGGTAAAGTAGGCAGAAACGATAACCAAAAAGGAACTGTGGTAGTGGGAGCGAATCTGTCAAGTATCTACATTCCAGCAAATATTCCGAAAGAAAAGGAGCCAAACTGGACACTTGTTGGGGAAACCGTTGATTGGCACTAAGCACCAGGACTTGAAGTTGAACTCAAGTGGGAAACAACACACTGGGCAATTGTTTGAGGGTGACATTGAAGAGAGATCATATGAGATGAAAGCTTATGGTTAATTGTGGAGCCTGTTGAAAAAGACTGCTGACAACAGGGTGAAATGGGGGTAAGCTGCTAATGAAGCATTACTTTCCACTTGGAATTCAAGCGAATAATAATAATAAAACAGTAATAAATCCACTAATAGACATTTTTAACTCAAGATAAACGCAGTCGGCCATTTGTGAGAAAACATTGAACAAAATCGACCATTACTTCACTTTATAGCACTCATCATTTCCACGCTAGTTTAAATACTTGATTTACTAAAGTGATAGAGAATTATCTACTGTTCAATTTTTTCTCAACACAATTCAACTGACTGAGTTTCCGCGTAGAACTTTGTTCAGAAGTGTAGGAAGTCAAGCTGCCACCCTCCTCCGATACACACACACACACATAAAGAATACAAAGGTAAAGAAAAGAAAGAAAACAAAAGATCCACAATAACTCTAATGAGCAGAAATATGTGGAAGAAGGAATAGTAACATAGAAAAACAGGCTATATTCCATGAAAGTCTCCAACAACCATTGGATTCTTAGCATCGCGATGACTCCCAAACCATGTTCAAACTATACTCTGCTATATATCCTTAGAGCAATTGTCAAAGACTTCATGGACTGATGCTCAGCGCATAAATCATTACAACAATATTCCAATAACCATTGGTAGAAAACTTCAGATCGATAAAATCACATAACTTACAATAAAAGACGTCCATGTATCATCCATTGGTTTCATAGCTATTCTCATTCGCTCACGTGTTGTGAAAACTTCGCCTAGTTCAGTTAACAGCATAGCTTTGAAACTAATCGCAGAACCAGCATGAAGAAGAGTTGTTCTAGAAGAAAAACAACAACAACATGTTAAATGACTAGTGAATCGGTATTATTAACACCTTAAAGATTTCAATTCAATATACAACAATAATTTACTTGATTTAAAATACCCATTATCAATTTAAAGAGATTGGAATTAATGAGCGAAATATTCCCATATTGAGTCATAAGAAAAAGGTACAAACAGCGAAGAAAATTTTCTTTTCGACGATTCATTTTCATGAGCTATACAATCGTAATTATAATTAAACACAGAAGTTTTTGGCCAATCATACACTGGTAAACTTTGTCCTTGAAAATTCTACTTCATGATGTGAGGTGTAAGAAGGGATGACTATTTGTAAGTTAGAAAGGAGACAGAAGTTGGCATGACCTAATAAGTGTGAGATAATGACTAATCAATAAACTAGTGTAGAATGGACAGGAACTAGTGGAAGGCTATAAAGTATTTTTGTATAAGATCTGTGTGAAAAGCAATGTTATTAATAAACAGTGATAGAGTGGTAATAAAATGTGGATGGTTGGAATAGTAATAATAATAAAAGTATTAAGAACGGTAATAATAATAATAAATAATTATAGTGAACTTACATATTAAAAGAGAGGAGAAAAATTATAGTAAGAAATTTACTCTGGCCACGGTAGGACTAGAGAATGTATGTGTCGTTTTTGTATGCACAGGTCTGGTTTTAGGTCACGAATAGCTAATGCCTCAGCTATGTACAGATGTCGTATCCGGAGTCCTTTTGTACGATATCGAGGGACTCTGTGTACCACTGTGAAGCATTCTTGTGGGGGTGCTCGATGTCCGGAGATAACAAGGTGTTCGAGGATTGAGCTGTTGCTATTCTTCTTTTCTCCTCAGGCTAACCAAGCTGGGCAGTGTTCCAGGATACGTTTGTGGACCTGACGTTGCGTACGGCCGATATACTTTGCTCCACACGAGCAAGTGAATTGATAAATACACATTGAAATGGCCAAAGGCGGTATCTTGTCCTTAACGTTAGACTGGATTAACTGTCTGCAGGAGAATGTTATACGTAGAGTGGCTGTTGGGAATGTCTTCTTCAGACTTTTTGAAAGGCGGTTTCTGAGAATTTCCGCTGCGATATCACCTTTGGATTCTAGGTTCATGAAGAGAGTCTTCTTAGGAACCGTTGTGATATTTGACACCGGAGGCTTCTCCTTCATGTTTTTGTCAATGAATCTTGGTGGATACCCATTCTCCAGTAGGGTTTCACGCAATAAATTTAATTCTTTCTCCACCGTGTCTTCCGAGCAGATTTTTCTAATCCTTGAGCACAATGTGCGTACCAAGTTTCTCTTTCGGGTCAGTGGAACAAAGCTCTGGAAGTTGATAAACTGTCCAGTCCATGCTGGCTTACGGTATATTGATCTTTGGATCGTACAGTCTTCTCTTCTGATGAGTAATATATCGAGGAATGGAAATGAGTTGTTCGATTCGAGTTCTAAGGTGAATTTTATTGATGGATGCGCTCCGTTGAAGGTTTTGAGGAGAGAATCTAAATCACATTTTTCATCACAGATTATAAACGTATCATCTACGTATCTCTTGTATAAGTACAGTTTACTTATCAAGGGATCAAGGATGTTGTTGATTAATTAATTAATGAACAAAAGAATATTCTTTTCTTAATTTAGCCTTAATAATTCACTTACACACTAATACACACACACACATACATAACCTTCTACCCAATTTTAACAGCCTGATTTTCATATTATCATTACTATGAATCTGAATAAAATCCAATGTGAACATTAATCATAAACACAATATCACAATATCCTCGGGGCTATTCATGATTGTTTTTGTTTTTGTTTGTTTTTTGTCGAGAGTCGATTTATAGGGATTTGATTTGTTTCAAGTTTGCCAACGGATTGATATCAGTTATAGAATCATTGAAAACTGTCGGGGAGTACTGGACAGCTGTTTCATCCTGGTTTGTGACTCATCAACAGTATTCCCTCTCGTTTTCAATACTTTCCTAACTAATATTAATCCGTAGTCTAACTCGAAAACAAATCAAATCTATACAAATAACTAATGAAAAAATTAATCTGATACTCGCTAATGACTTGCTACAGGACGAAGTTGCCTGGATCTCTAGTGATAAGTTCCGACAAGTGAGATCCATCCAGTCGGGAGTGAGGATGAAGTTCCCACCAATGACATTGGTTGGTAGTCGAGCTAAAATCAAGAATTGGTAGAAATTACAATTCATGGACCATTGAATCAGGTCGCAGTCAGAAGGTCCTGTTTTCGAAACCCAATCAATCGGTGAGTACTGCCGACGATTCCCAAACTAGGATGAAACATCTGTCCAGTACTCCCTGGTTTCCAGTGGTTCCCTAAATGATATCAATCCGTTGTCTAACTCGAAAAATGATTGCTTTTACTTTCGAAATCTGACAATAAATTTAAGTGCTACATTTATGTATGCTTAAAATAAGCAACAACTGTAGAAACAGAAGCAGGATTTAACGAGTTCATAAATTTCCGCGTAGACAAACACGTCAGCCTCAATACTCTCTCTACAAACATTCTCATTTATACAATCTCTTCATAACGTTAAATACATACAACAAACACATGAATACTGTGACAAAAAATAATTTTGTCAATTTTCACAATTAGAGCTAATTCTATTGACTTGTTTCTATCTTACATAATTCCTATGAGTCATCCTATTCTTCTTAGTCATCATTCCTATTTTATAAATTTCCTGATTATGTAATAACTTGTCGCCAGCGTCTAAGAATCAACTTATCTTGAATTCCATAATTAATTCTCACCCTCTTTTTTCTAAAACTTAGATATCATGTTACTAACATCTACTAGTTATTTGTTTTGATGACCTTTGGCCTCTTGATTTCACTTAATTTTGTTTGTTTACCTGCTTCTTTAAATGCCTCTAAATCTTGTATTCATTTAGAACTACTACGTAATTTCGTATTCTCTACTTCCTTCCTATGTGTATCCTGAGTACAACTCAGTCATCAAACTATCCACATTACTACGCAACTCCTTTTTATTAACAACTTTTTGTGACAACTCAGCACCTTTCTCACCACTTTAGTTTCATTAACACCCCATTTTCTTGACCGTTTTTGTATGACACAACCCTATCCGAAACTTCCATCTGTTTAGTTAAAATAACCATAACCAATTGTAGTTTGTAGTTTGTTTGACAAACTTAATGTACACATACATACAAAATAACTGTCATATATATTCGTGATTGTACAGCTGTGAAAGTGAATTCTCCGAAAAGAGACTCTTCGCTGAACTACGTGTTTTGTTTTCATTAATGCGTGGATGGGGATTATTGATGATTTAAATCATGAGTGTCTTTATAGTTGCAGATACGTGTTACTGACGAGTACCAATAAGAACGACAACCACTTCTATGGCATTTTAACAGAAAAGACAGATGATCTGTATAATTTAACACTTTTATCACAGATAGTATTTCTTATCTGGTTTATCGAAACTAGTAACACGCTTTTTCAGATTATACAGTGTCCATGCAAAACAGAAAGCAGATACAAGGAAACAGAATCTATCGAAGAGCCTAGCTTAAGAGATTCCTGATAATCATCCAGGTTATTGAACCGGACTATTTGTCTGATCGAAATCAATGGTACTTTTTTTTAGCTGGAGATTGTAAAATACCTAATTTTCGCCTATGATTCTATCCAATACGAAGAAAATAATGATCATTGTGACAGTCTTAGTTATCCGATTATTGACTCACCAATGATTATAAATACAGCTTGAAAAAATGAATACAATTCACAATTTTGCTTTTGTAAAATCACACTAACCTGAATCCACTTCGATTCACATTTGGTGTACTTTGAAAACTTGCTATAAGCATATCAATCAAGCTGTTGCCTAAACCTGAAGCAATAAGGAAATCTACGGCTTCTGTAAGCCAACTAAGCCATCCTCCAGCGTCTATAGCTGCCATTTTCTCGGTTAGCTGATCACTAGTTCTATTTCTTCTATGATAATCGAATTCATCATCTAATTGTTTTACAATTGGATCTAAGCTGTCACGTACTTTGGCGAGTAATTGAGAATGCGTCTAAATTAGAAAACATAAAATATATATATATAATGATGTTAATAAATTAGTCAATATTAAACTGGACGTTTTTCATGAAAGAATACACCTACAATACGAATGGCATTAATACAAGTCTACAGAAATTTATAGCTAGCATGGTATGTATTGGAATATTTAGCATAACAAAAGGTGGATTTCAACGTCGTTTAGTACCCATTGAAAAACGAAAGTGGACTTATCTAGTATTCTTCATAGTTCCAAACTATTCAACAATGTCTACTACACAACCACAAGAGAGATTCAGTCGATCATCGGCAGGTCAAAATAGCCAGAACTTTATCTGTGATTCATTAGGTTAATAGGCAATTTTAATAATTACAACTTAAATACAGGTAATACACTTCTTTAATAAGGACATCTAAATGTCTATTTAGCTATAAATTATGACTAACGATTAAACATTGGTAAACAAACTAGTTCGACAAATCACGATATCTGGAGGGTGACTGAGGCAGATCCATGTTGAGTCGCACCTCAACAACAATTCATCAGCTACACATCATGAATTGGTAGAGGTTAGAATTCATGGACCACTTGATTCCATCTCAGTGGCTGAATAGCCAACGAGACCACTTTGTTACCTAAAGGTCCTGGTGTTCGATTCCTGGCGATGTTGTGGGTGAACACTGGTGAAGAGTCACAAACTAAGACGAAACAGCTGTCTAGGATGCAATGGTTCTCTAACTGAAGTCAATTCATGATCAAATTTAAAATCAGTCGGACTCCTAAATATTTATAAGCTAAGAGTACTAGTGCTTTCTCTTGAAGTGTATTGTACTACAAGTTCATAATATGCCATGAAAGTCAATAAAGAAAACAGAGTATTGCATATTTTTTTAAAGGAAAAATCCTGTGAATCCTAAACTACTGACTCGATTCCTATACACCAAAAGCAAAAGTAATCCTAAAGCTACAGATACAACTTTTATTAGATGGTTTATGAGAAAGTCTTAAAGATGAGGTTCTCTCAATGAAAAGTTTCACATAAATACATCAATGTGTATTTCATACAACTTTTAACAACAAAGGCAAAAAGTGATAGGTACCATATTCTCGTTAATTAACCACAGTGCTAGTTATAATAACATTTAAAATGGTCCAATGTAGATTTCGTCACGAATTGAAACCAGGTGAAAAATCACTCAAAGCCTAAGAGCACTATAACTAGCTGCTCCCTCCTGGTTTAAGGCCCTTCAGCAGTGTGCACCCGTGACACCCTTACTTGGGATTGAAACCCATGACGTTCAGTTTACCAGACCAAGGCGATTACTATCCAGCCACGGGGTGTGAATTCAATGGCTTGTGAACTCTAACTTACGTTAATTAGTGGACAGTTCCAAGAAAGAAAGAAACACGTATCCAGTACACTTGGACCTACAGTGATTCACTAGCTGATGTCCGTCTGTGACAAAAGCTATGTCAAAATAAATCCAAATCCATACGAAATCCGAAATCTGAATAAAATGTTTATATCATCCTTTTTGAGCACCGCTGATTTCATACAGTAGAATGATTGCCAACCGCGTTTGTGGTTCAGGATTCGAATCCTAGCCGACACACTGCTAAATATGACTTAGTAGGTAGTAATCCCGAAGAAGATGGAGACAACCAGACAGGCTTTAGACCAGGAAGAGGGTGTGTTGACCATATCTTCACCCTTCGACAGATTCTCGAACATAGCCATACTTACTAGAGTGCAACAATCGTCATATTTCTTGACCTGAAAGCGACATTCAATTCCGTCAACTGACAGGTACTATGACTATGCTTATCTGTGAAGAGAATCCCGAGAAAATACAACACACTGATCAAGGAACTCACTCTACTCGAACTCATGCAGCCGTCAGTCAGGTGAGAGCTTACGGCGACTTGTCATCTGAAGTGGTGATAATCAATAGTGGCCCTATTTCTATTCACTTTCATCATAGATGTACTAATCTACTTAACACTAACTAACTTCAGTAACCGGGACATTGACTTGTTACCAGAGAATAATCTCATTGACTTAGAATATGCAGATGATATAGTCCTCCCTCCTAGATGAAGACGCTGACAAAAAAGAACAGAGTCCTTTGAATATCTTGAGTAGTAACAGTCTTTGAATCCTTGTCATGCGATTCTCTCCCGCCAAATGTAAGATGATGAGACTACAGGACTGGACTGCACCGACTATTCCTAGCTTAAAGATAGGGAGTGAAGTAGTTGACCACTTCAATTAAATTACTTGGCGAGTTGCATCAGCCAGTTCCAACGGGTTGATCTCTGAAGAAATATCAGCTCAGATACAGGAGGCTCATTTGGTATTTGCCTATCAACTTACGCCATCTGTGGCGTACAGGTGATATTTGGCCGGCTGTCGATCAGAGGGTGTGTGTACTGCTAAGCAGTCCGCTCCGTCTTCCTTTATGGCTGTGAGACCTGGCCATTGAGAGTAGAAGACATAAAACGCCGGACTAGCTGTCTTTCATCATAGGCGTCTGTGTTTTATCTCCCATGTGAAGTGGTATAATAGAATGAGCAGTATCGAGGTTAGGTATCGGTCGAGTGCTAGGTAGGTGGAAGGGGATATCAATGGACGAGGCTGTGAAGTTACACTGATTCAGATAGATGGTTAGGACATGTGTTACGTATGCCTAGTCATCACCTTTCTTGACAGGCAATGTTAGCTGACATAGGGTCATATTGGAAAAGAGAGAGCTAGTGATGGTCAAACCAAAACATGGTTTCATCAGTCAATATATATAAGATTATTTGCTATTTTATGCTACCTAAGTTTTTTCACTTAAAAATATATAATCGGTGATGACGGAAAGTCAGATGGAAATCTGGGTCGCGGCAGGATTCAAACCAATGACCCACGGATTACAAACCCAACGGCTCTAACGCCTCTTAGATCAACTGGCAAAATATTAAACTAGTAATTCTGAGGCTTTTGCTTTGAATCATGCCATGGTATTTATTGTTATTCCCTTAGTTTTCGAGTAGAATATAGGGTTCAAGAGAATATCTCCCTTTCACTCAGTTTTCTGCGGTCTATATTAGCTGGCTCCACGACCGCCTATAGTATCTAATTTCTTCCATGTCACCCTCGGACTCACGTCCAACTTGCCGTTTCCCATTCAGGTACCACGTTAGAGCCTGCCAAGTGGCGTTACTCAATGGTGTGTATCCGATCCATCCCTATTTCCTTCGGCAGATGCGTAAGGCGACAGGTCCTTCGTTGGTTCATTGAATTGCAAAGTTCCTTGTTACCAAAAATTTCTAGGTGTGCGTCGGTGGCACAGCTGTTAGGACGCTCGCTGACCATGGCACATGGTCCGGGGTTCGATCCTAGGCCGACGCACTACTTTACCTCGCTAAGCCAGAAATAATGCTGGTAAAGAGATAAGGTTGGGCATGAGGCTAGCAACCCCATCCTGTAAAATTAAACACTGCTACAGAAGCTTTAAGCCACTAGCTTGAGGCCCTATGTCCCACTGAGAACGTGAAGGGAAAAAAATTTCTAGCCACCTAATCTTCAGTACGGAGCCATATAAGGTAGTTGTGGATAAAACTCTGTATTAGCTGGGCTGGAAATGCTTTTCGTGACACAGGAAGTCTCTAATCAATCATCACCCTCATTGTATCAATCGCAGTCGACCAACCTAGGGAGCTATATCCGAAACCCTCACCACCTTTTTAAAAATTATACCGTTCTATGACATTGGCAGGCGTCTACAAATCAAATCAAAGTTATTACAACTAGACGCATAGACTATGTAAATGAATTTCTTAACAATAAAAATAAGCAAACAAAATAAAGAATAAGAGACACGATACAAGCATCTCTAAATATCTCATTTCTACTTTATTTTCAAAAATATCCTTATGAATAACAAACATACTTGAATATATGCAGTTCGCATGCGTTCAGCTTTAGCCTGTAGATCTCTATCCACACGAGGATCTAATCCTTCAAGACTAAACCCTTCACATTTTTGATTATTGATTGGAACAACAGAGCATGAAGCATTTTGTAATAACGGTGGTGGTTTATTCGATAGAACAGGTAAAGGTTCATCTAATAGTGGAACTTGTTTAGTTTCAATTAACCAGTGTAAATTTGTTACTGAATGAAGTCGTTGACTCCAATCAGCAAGAATGCCATGTCTTTCGAGACTTTCAGTGGAACGTAATACATCTCTGTAACAGTCTGCAGCTTGAACTAACTGAAAGTGAAAACAAAAAAAAAGCGGGAAATTAATTTATTTATTTATTCAACTTAGAATATCATAAAAAATTATATGCTACTGTGTTGGTTGCTCTAAGCGTTTCAGTCGATTTGCTTGTATTAAAATGAACTACTTGAGATTACTTGACAAAGAGATTTGAACTTGAGTTGTATTGCCTTAATATTATGAAATTGATTAGTGGAAATGGCTAACATTGAATGATTTTCTTTAGTTTGGCTACCTCCAATAGTCTCATTTGGACAATGAAGACTGTCATTTACAATTTCATTTTATTGGGCTTATTGTTAGTGTCTTTGTTCGTTGTTGATCGTTGTTTTAGTTTGAAACTACTTTTTGATAACATTCTTAAACAAGTATTTCCTTCATACATCTACTCGTCTTTATGAACAACAGTTTGTGTAGAATAAGATAGTACCATCATTTATTTCGTTGGCTTCTCATCAGCTGCTGCTTACAGCCTAGAGATATTGCTAAGCTTATATACAGAAAGAATTGTAACATGATGTCAGTTGACACAGAGTTCAAGTTTAGAAAAAACCAATGTATGGTAAATGAATTAGGTAACAAAGATTAAAGGTTAAAGCAAAAGATTATGTATTCAGGTGGAAGGGAGAATAAAGACATTCAGTTACCAGGGTAGGGAACGAATGATAACTGCTTCTTTCTGAACACATAAATCGAGTTTCAGACATTTGACAAAGATTGCTTTAGCAAACTTGAAGAGAACTGTGCGATTTTGTCTATTAATGAGGATATCGCACTATTGAAAGCGTTTGTTCCGTTGAGACGTAAGCTTTTTGGTACACGTTTAGAAAAACGCAGGTGTGCCCCTCCTTTCTGTTCTCCCTGTTTAGCTGCTTCTGCAGATACATGTAAATTTGTATACACAGCTGTAGTTAACATGAGAAGGGTATCTGTCAACTTTTGATTCCAGAAAAGAACATTTTTTTTCAAAAAACAGGAACCAACATACCCATACGATAAGATCAGGTTAGTGACGTATTCAATCTTCTGTTGACTATTATTGCAATATTATCACCTTTAAAATCGAGTTGAAAGAAGATGGACTTTTTCCCCACTGTGATTTCTTTGATATTTGAGCTTTCATATCTTCCGTACTTCCTAATACATCTCTACCAACTAATATCATATGAAAATTCCAAGTATGTTAAAATTCTTTTTGTGCACAAACTTAGTAATATCTTTAGGCTGTAAGCAGATAATGAGAAGCCAACAAAATAAATGATGGTGTCATCTTATTCTATTTCCCTTTAATAGCTTTACGCAAATTCATCACTAGACTGACAAATGTTGTGTGCATCTAGTCCTTGGTATTGACGCTGACTGAATTCTATCAGTTTACTACCGCGGTGCACTCTACATTAATGTTATGTGGTTGTAGGCAATTGACAAGAAGTCTGCAGCCTTGGTTTTCAATCACATGTGGAGTACGATTTCCTTCAAGACTGAAAATACTCCATGCTGATGAGTGCCAACAAGCACGAAACCTAGGTCGACAAGTTCCTGCCAATTACACCTTCAACTATCTAAAACTATGAAGATCTCTTAGTGGTTTAAAGTGAAATCAACAATTTCACATCACGGAGTCTGATTGTCATCTGACATTTGGAAAGAAACATGTACGCAAGGGAAAATTAGATAAAAACGAAACTAGTTTGTAGTATATGGAATTCATCGAATAAACTGGTAAACAAACCACTAGTAACTTTTTTAGATATTGATTTATTTTTTTTTAATTAATTCATTGATATAAGATAATCCTTAAAAAGTGAAAATTAACGTTGGTGTAAAAGTAGAATTTGGACACTGAGGTAGAGTATAATTCCATATGAGATAGGTCAAATTGTAGTCTAACTAATTCCTACACAGTAAAACAGAAGCTACAGCAAGACTTCAATAGAAAAAGATGAAGGAAAAATGACGACTAGTTCTGATAAATAAATAACCCCTGTATTACACTAACGGCTCAGTTAACACAGTTCTGTGGAGGCAGTTAAGAATGAACTAGACATTGATCCCAAACTGGGAAATAGAATTAAGCTCTCGGTTGGATGAATGAATATTAGGTGTTCAGTTATAGTTTAACCTTTACTATATTCAACAAATGGTGTGGTAATGAGTTGATCACCATTATCTTATGAACAGTTGAGAACACTAAAGCTTTCTCAGCTCGTTTAAACCCGACTTCTAGATTGTGGTGAAGATAAATGGATGAAACATTCAGAGTGTTAAAATGTAAAAGGTATATCCCTAAGTTCTATCTTCATACATAATTATACTCAGAACAGTACTAGATGGAATCCAATTCCCTTTTTGAGGGAGTCAGAAATAAACAAGGTGAGTTTAGCCATGTTAGACTGTAAAATGAAATACAAACAAGGTAGTGGATTTGTGCACTGACTTGTAAATAATCATACAGTCATACATTTAATTCATTTATTAAATAAATGAGTCATAGTAGCTTGTATATCATCTTTCTAATATTTTATACAGTTATTTGTATCACTAAAAACCTGAAGGAATGACACAGTGAGCTTCAGCTTTCCTTAATAACTTTGCTGCGTAACTCTTGTGTTTCACAACGAAGAGATTGATTCATGTAATCTGCTACGCGTGTCCAATATATATTATTATTATATTATTGTTTCCTTTAGTTCCTAGAGGAACATAGGGCTTCAGCCACACGTCTCCATTGCGTTCGGTTCTCTCCCAACCTTTTCACATGGCTCCAGGTCTGCCCACATGCTTTCATCTCCTCTTCACATGACCTCCTCCATGTCACCCTTGGATGACCGACCCTCCACTTGCCGTTCGGGTTCCACTCGACGGCCTGTCGTGCGAGTCACTTGATGGATTTCTCAGAGTATGGCTAATCCATCTGCATTTCTTCCTGCTTATTTGCTGCGCAATCGGTTCCCGCTGGGTTTGTTCGCTCCCAGAGATCGCTTTCGCTGATCTTTCCTGGCCATCTGATCTTCAGTATTGAGCATATATATATATCGCATGCCAAATGTTACTGAGAGATTTACCTTAAAAATGTAAAGCACTAATGATCCGAACAGGTTCTAAACACTGGGTGAAAGGCTTTTTTCTCATCCCATAGACAAGCAGTGTTACTCTTCTCTTAAAAATGTCATATACAAGTGCACGTTTATACAATATCCAATATAAGGCAAAATATATGTGTAATGTAAGACATTACATAACTAGAAAGAAAATGCAGAGGCTAACTGACAACTAATTTTACTCCAAAGTTTTTTTTCATTTCAAAAGTTAGGACAAAGATATACCTAATATGCATTACACTCTTCTTACCATATTTTTGATAATGAAACAACCAGCAGCACCATTTTTATCGAATACCCAGGTACGTAAAAGTCCTTCACATTCTCTTCTCGTTTCATCAACAACTCGACGTATAACTTCAGTCATGGTAAAACATCTATTTCGAGAACAGATAAAAGGAGACAAAATAACTGGTATATTACTTAGTAACAAAAAAAATACTTATGTGTACAGGAGCGCAGATATAGGCGATCAGCTTCGTTTCAATCTCAGTGGAAACACATTATTAGTATTATTATTATTACTATTATGCAAGAGCTCGGATACTACCCGGACGCCCAGGTTAAAGCAGGTGGTTATCTTAAGGGGCCGGCTACGAAGCCTTTGACTTAAAGTCTGATTCAAAAGGCAGTTGAGTTGCGCCGGCAGCTGAGTTAACATGGATTCCGGTGACTAAAACAGCTGCATACGCCATTTGATCCAATCGGTTTGGAATCAGGATTTTACAGCTCCCAGTTAGGCTGAAAGCGCCAGACTTTCTTACTCACTCTTTCAGTTTCATGCGAAACACCCCACTTCATTGAAGGTTACGAATAGGATTTACTTTGAAGAGGCTATGAACACGTGGCCACATGAAAGCGATTCGAGAGGTAGACCACCTGCGGCCGTACCAGATGGCTTACGGAGGCAATAACTTAAAGGAACTAATATCCCCTTTGAGATGTGAGTCCATATCACCCAGAGCTACAATTAGAGACCATACACTACTGAGCTATTACGGCTCCAGGAAAAACACATTATGAGTTCATTGACTGCATGCAAGACCTGAATGTATCTAACAAAATTATGCTGTCGTTCGACATTGAGTCACTTTTCACCAATGTCCCAATCACGGAAACGGTCTGCTTTATATAAAAATATATAGATGAAAACCATCTAAATATTGCAGTACCAACAGCACATTTGAAGGAATTACTACTGAGATGCACTTTCAACGACACCATCTATAGACAAAAAAGATGGTATTGCAATTGGATCCCCGTTGGGTCCACTACTATCGGACTGCTATGTGTCAGGCCTCGAGAAAAGTCCACTAAAGCCAAGCATTGACAATTTACGACTTTATAAAAGATACGTAGATGACATATTATCTGTGACAACAATAATGACCCCAGTCTACTGCTGCAGACATTTAACTGTTGCCAGCCAGCAATTAAAATTAACTCTGGAAATTGTAAACGAATCGAAAATTTCCTTTCTTGATGTGGAACTAACAAGAAGAACTGATGGGACTTTAGGAAAATGGATCCCTAGAAAAGCTACTTCGAATGATCAACCAACAAGCTTCCTAACTAATATCAATCCGTTGTCTAACTCGAAAAATGATTGCTTTTACTTTCGAAATCTGACAATAAATTTAAGTGCTACATTTATGTATGCTTAAAATAAGCAACAACTGTAGAAACAGAAGCAGGATTTAACGAGTTCATAAATTTCCGCGTAGACAAACACGTCAGCCTCAATACTCTCTCTACAAACATTCTCATTTATACAATCTCTTCATAACGTTAAATACATACAACAAACACATGAATACTGTGACAAAAAATAATTTTGTCAATTTTCACAATTAGAGCTAATTCTATTGACTTGTTTCTATCTTACATAATTCCTATGAGTCATCCTATTCTTCTTAGTCATCATTCCTATTTTATAAATTTCCTGATTATGTAATAACTTGTCGCCAGCGTCTAAGAATCAACTTATCTTGAATTCCATAATTAATTCTCACCCTCTTTTTTCTAAAACTTAGATATCATGTTACTAACATCTACTAGTTATTTGTTTTGATGACCTTTGGCCTCTTGATTTCACTTAATTTTGTTTGTTTACCTGCTTCTTTAAATGCCTCTAAATCTTGTATTCATTTAGAACTACTACGTAATTTCGTATTCTCTACTTCCTTCCTATGTGTATCCTGAGTACAACTCAGTCATCAAACTATCCACATTACTACGCAACTCCTTTTTATTAACAACTTTTTGTGACAACTCAGCACCTTTCTCACCACTTTAGTTTCATTAACACCCCATTTTCTTGACCGTTTTTGTATGACACAACCCTATCCGAAACTTCCATCTGTTTAGTTAAAATAACCATAACCAATTGTAGTTTGTAGTTTGTTTGACAAACTTAATGTACACATACATACAAAATAACTGTCATATATATTCGTGATTGTACAGCTGTGAAAGTGAATTCTCCGAAAAGAGACTCTTCGCTGAACTACGTGTTTTGTTTTCATTAATGCGTGGATGGGGATTATTCATGAATTAAAACAGTATGAGAAACTTGAAATATGGTGAAATGTGCCTTCTGGATTCCAGTGCCTATCAAATAAAAATTATTTAACACCATAAAATAAACAGAGGTGATCTTGTGTAAACAGTGTGCAACAGAGTCAGTAAGTTGTTTGAAATTAGATTATTGTTACCCAGTACATTGTGTGACAGCATACATGTACTACCAATAATTATTCTGATATAAAGCGTATATGTGCATAAGTGTTACTATAACCAGCTTCATGTTATATCTAATATGATATCCAACCGTTTGCCTTCTGAGTATCATAGACACAAAACAACAAGTCTACATCATCATGATATGATGTCATATTTTTGGCTTAACAACCCTAAAGTGTTAATCCCAATTAGTGTCAAAATAAGTACTGGAATAGACGCTGCATCATCAGGCTTCACACTTAAGTCAGTGAACAAACATCACAACCGTACCAACTAAATCCCCTTAATCATCCAGCCATTCATTACCAATGACATTTATACATTTCACACATTGATTCAACAACAGCGGAACGATACTACACAGGAAAACAAAACTATACATCTAGTTTTCGTGATGGACAGTAACTTTTCACAAAGTTGTATAACCAAACGGCTACGAGGCTATATTTAAACACATTCGTTCATGCTTTCGCAGAAACTTTGTTACTCAGGGCGGCCTAGTTAAACTTTAAGCACCACTAACTACCAATCAGTGAATGACCTCGAATGGTCCTATGAGGATCATGCACGTGAGTTCAAGGTTGTATTCCGCTTGGTTCGTATCAAATGCCTCCTCTGATGAAGTTACGCTTGCAGTTCGATGAGGATAAAGTTTTGCAGTATTGTCTGGATTTTGGGTTGCTTAGCAATGAGAGGATTTGTTCATGTGAAGGTGTCATGAGTTTAAAAAGCCTTAGCAGGTCGATTGATGGATATGTTCATCGTTGTGCAATTTGCTTGAGACGAGTTAGTATTAGGGAAGGTAAGCTGATGATTTTAATATTTCGTAAGAACATTTTTTGCTAGGTCGCATCTCTCCCTAACCCAGATTTTGTATATTTGTAATAACTGAGTTTTAAAACAGTCTATAAGAGGCGCCGCTGATGAAACTGAAAATAGCCTCATGTCAACAGCTCAGTGCTACTAGCTTCGCAGAGACATCACCTCACGGAAAATGGAGAGATTTACTTCGTTGTTAGGCGGAGAACGAAATTGTCTTTTTGAAGAAAATGTGGTCGTGAGCGAGTCGTGGAAAGAATACCAGACAGAGTCTACTACCTTAGTACCTATTGTCACTCGACTGGTGGAACTGGAATCTATAGTGCATACTGATTGGTGGAAAGGTTATAACTCGCTGTCATCCCTTGGATATATTCATCACAGAGTGGACCATTCTAGTGATTTTGTGGATCCCATTACTGGGATAGATGAATTCTATAGAAGGATTTTGCGGAAGATTTAAAAATAGGATTAGAGTTATAAATGGATCTCAAAAAGAAGTCATTTATAGTCATTTAGATGAATATATGTACAGAATGTGGTGTAACTTTTCTGTTGACACTCCTATGCTAAACTGAGAGATATTTCTGTCACATGTTAGAGAAAGATACCTTTTGTTACAGTTTTATGCAATTTCTATACTTTTTTCCATAAATATACGTTTTCCATAATCAAAATTCACAATTTCATGTGATTGGTTCGTTGATCGGTAGATAGTGGTGCTTAAAGTTTAACTTTACCCTAAGCTCTAGGCCACCAACAACACACACACACACACGCACACAATCATTATGTGAGGGCTGGTGACACTACCCAGTTGTTCAAGCTGAAGTAGATGAAGCTCGAAGGATACGAATCTGGGACCCATTGGCTAAAAGTGCCGTGCTTAAGCCATAATCTACATGTTTCTCAAAGAGAGTTAAAATAATTCTTGAGAAATCTGACAAAAAAAACAACTGGATTTCGTATATGTCAACACAATACGATAAAGAAGGCATATGACTACTATTAAGTGACTGTGCGTCGGTGGCACAGTGGTTAGGACTCTCGCCGACCATGCATATGGTCCGGGGTTCGAGCCCACGCCGACGCACACCTGATATCTATGGTCGGCCTGTGAATTTTGGGCTACCGATATCCACGCTGAAAATTCCATACTTGTACCAAAAATACAGTGTGGAATCAAGCTGTAATCAAAAATAAAAAAAATAAATAAGTGTAACGCATAACAACATTATAATACCCACTGCATAACATTCTATATCTCAGTAGAGTTTCGTAAACATCCTAACGACTTTGAAATTTAACTTCCAGAATAAATAAAATGATTTCCCCTCATCAGTCACTACACAGTACTATGACAGACTGGATCTCAAAACAGAACTGTGCACAGAAGTTAAAGTTGCCACACTTCTTATACAACACACAAAGATAGAGAAAAAAGGAAGAAAGAAATTCGAAAGAACTGCAATGCGCAGATGAGTACGGAGGAAAGAATAGTAACATGGGGGAAACACAAGTAATTAACGGGTCGAGGACATCTCAAAGAATGAATGTATCTGCAGCACTGACAGCGGTTTCGGGTCAAACCACCTAAAGTCTAAAAGCATTGGTTTTTAGAGACCCAAAGACCCTATTCAGGCAGTCTACACTTCCCTTACGTGGCTCATCAAACCAACAATCAAAAAATTCCTGGATTGATGCCAGGTTTTGGCTTGATCGCACTCCTGGCTCTTCTCCAACCTAATCGTATATCATTTAACACTGCTCGACGAGGAAGGCAGTGACACGGCATGTGCAGCAGTATTATGATTTCTCGAAAAAAGAGAAATTTCTGAAACTTTTATATGAAAACAAAAAATCGACCATGTATGAAAAATTAATTAAGGAAGTATTGTGAAAATGTTAGTCGTAAATGGACTGAGAAAGTGTGATCAAAACAATTGAAACGACACATCTTAGTACTTACCCAGCGCCTAGATTACGATGGCCTTGTGCACCAGATACAGTAGGAACACTATCAGAGTATTGATCCTCTTCGTTAACGCCTACACATACCATATTAGCAAGTGTTACAGAATGTGCACGTCTTGTTTGATTATTTTTAGCAACAACAAGACTAGGATGTGTACATGCTTGACGTAGTCGAGTGATTAAATTGACTAAACGAGAGTGTGCATCTGTAGGTAAACTGCATAATGGTTCATCAGGTGAAAGTGACAATGTTTGAACTAAACGTCCTAATGCACCAGCTGATTGTGCTAACACACGATCATGTATGTATCGTTCAACAGGAGTGAACGTTATCCTTAGAACATTTAAAAAATACGAAAAAATATATATAAGGACACTTTAAACTTAACAGTGGACTCTTAAAGGAAAAACATGATCGAATAATTATAAATTCAAGAAAAAACATTAGCAACGACAGAAACAACTGATAAATTCACTTCAGTTGAGGGGCATTCCTTACGTTATGAGCAAAACACCGGGCCTGAGTAGCGGTGGTGTCCTTTATTTACGGAATCGGGGTGCTAGCTTCCCCTTCAACTTACTCTTTTTTCCGGGCTTACTATCAGCTAGTAAACTAGGAGTAGTTTAGCCGCTGGGAGTCGAACCCAGAACACGTGAAGAGTTGACGAGTATTTTGCCAGCAAACTACGGCTGCACGACAATTTACCTCTACTGTACACTAAATATGAACAAAGGAGGTTATTTTCCCACCAATCGCCATTAAATTTCCATGGTAATGAAAAACTAAGCGAAGGACTACACAGTTTGTACTCGGTCAAAGAATAAATTGAAAAGTATTTTTATACCGTTGTGCAGACGAGACGGAAATTCAGACTCCAAGATGAGACGACTTAATGTTTTGCCTAATATTTGCAATATTCCACGCCAGTTTTTGCAGAGGCGTGAGTCACTCTTCTTTAGTAACCTGACAAGGTAGCCTTTTTTTCCAATCGGTAGGCACTTTTTTTCCTTTCAAAACCTTTTACAATAATAGCATGAGGCAGTGCAGCAGGTGTGCTCACACTAAAAAGCTATAGATGTTATATTACGATGCCAATAAATAGTGTTAATCAGAATGCGTGAAAAAGAAACAAAGTACGACACTGAAAAATGTAAAAAGATGGTCTTTTTTGATAACCAATATAAAATACAATGCATTTACATGTTTGATTAGTTAATTTCTACTTATAGTTTACAATTTTTAGAATAAATAATATGAAATAGCCGCCTGCAGTAGCATCTTAACAATAACTTACCAATGCGTTCGTTCAGTAAGTGGAGGTATGGTAAGCTGATCACCTACAAGTGATTTAGTATTTCTCCATAAAATTCTACTAATAATTTTTCCTAAATCAGTCCTAGCAACAAGTGCATCATCAATGAATGAATTATCCATTTCAGGCTTTAGATCATTTTCAGAATCCAATGTTTCTTTGCCCCAGGATGTAGAGCATGCAGCAAGAAATGGTTGGTATAACAAACTATTCCAGTAATGTGAAAAAGAATACGGTGTCAATCGAAGGTAAGCGAATAGTCCAAAAAAGTCTGAAAAAAATATAGAAGAATAAAGTAGATAGATAACTAGTTAATATGATAGTTAAACTTTGTGATATATATATATATATATACATGCAAAATATAATACTGCATTATTTTCAGCAGTCAAGAGAATCAGTATTTACATGAATCTGCAGCACTAACGGCTAAGAAGAATCCTAGTATAAAATGGATACCCACCATGATGTTGTTCACAGAATGTGACAAAAGAAGTGAATTTAGGCATATCTGCTAATGCTTACGCTTCTAAGACATATTCTGATAAAGCTTCAAGGCACTAATTTAGATTTATGTATACAAATATCTATTGGTCACTTGACTTAATTAACAAAGCGCACTCATCAGAATGCCAAGCTGTAATATTAAGATATTTGGGATCAGAGAAAAATGAAAAGGCATTATTTTAATAAAGACAATTGAATAACAGGTAATTTAGCCCGTAGTAAATTGAGGAAACAAACAACAACTGTAGAAACAGAAGCAGGATTTAACGAATTCATAAATATCGGTAGACAAACACGTCAGCCTCAATACTCTCTCTACAAACATTCTCATTTATACAATCTCTTCATAAGGTTAAATACATCCAGGAAACACATAAATATTGTGACAAAAATAATTTTGTTAATCTTGTCAATTTTTACAATTCGAGCTAATTGTATTAACTTGTTTGTATCTTACGTAATTCTTCTGAGTCATCCTATTCTTCATCACTGCTACTATATAAACTTCCTGATTATGTAATAACTTGTCATCAACGTCTAATCTTGAGTTCCGTAATTAATTCTCAACCCTTTTTTTTAAAAAAAAACACTTGGATAGCTTGTTACTAACATCTACTAGTTATTTGTTTTGATGACCTTTGGCCTCTTGATTTCACCTCCGCTTATGTCTAAAACTGATTAACTAAAATAACCACTTGATCGGTAAAACATTTTGATGTTAAAAACAACAACTATATATTACATGGAGGATTTAATCATGAGCCGACATCAGTTAGAGAACCACTGGAAAATCTGGGAGTACTGGACAGCTGTTTCGTCCCAGTTTGGGACTCCTCATCAGTACGCACCCACCGGGATTCGAACCCAGGACCTTCTGGTTACAAGGCGAGCTCGTAGACCGTTGAGCCACTGGGACCCGATCCAATGGTCCAGTGGTTCTCTAACTGATGTCAGCTCATGATTAAATCATCCATGCAATCAAACAAAATCCCTACAAAAACCAATACTTCGCTCAATCTGTTGTTGTTGCTTGTTTTCTAAATGCGTAAATGGGAATTTGGAAACTACTGAAATAATTATATGTTTTCAAGTGTTGCTTTTTGCAGGGATTTGATTCATTTGATGATTGATAACGAACTGAATTCAGCTAGTAAACCAATGAAAACCAGGGACTGCCACACAGTAGTTTCATCCTATTTCGAGACTCAACTACACACCTATAACCCTTCCACTAGGGGTCGAACCCGGGACCTTCAGGTTACGAGGCGAGGCAGTTGACCATTGGAGCCCGTTGGACGGAATCTAACGGTCCATCAAGTCTAACTTCTGACAATTCATGATAAATAGCTCAACCGTCAGCCAGTGGTCTTCAGCGAGTATTTGCCCTCACACTCAACACAACTTGCTGGACCGCGCTGGTCAAGAATTCTCTTCTGTACTATCTGGTTTTCAATAGTTCTCTGGCTGAGATGCTTCAATTTCACCTGATACAATTTTGAGGAAGTGAATTATTAGGAATAAATCGTCTTAGACAGATCAAATATAAGACAATATACTTATCATTCATTTTCAAATTAATTTCAACTTACCATCTATGCTTTTTTCAGCTGGTGTACCAGTAACACACCATCTATTAACAGCAGTGATTTGTGATAACATTCGAGCAGTTTTCGATGTGACACGTTCCACCATCTGTGCTTCATCTAAACAAATCTGTTATGTTGCATAAACAAAAGTAAAATATATACCTATATTATAAAACTGAATCATTTGTGTAAATATATTTAACTTTGAGTTACACTAGCAATAAAAGAAAAATAAAGAAATCATAAACACTACGCCGAACAAAATGATTTTAATAAACAAACCAGTTATCCGATGAAATATGCATTCAATAGAAATATAAAAAACAAGTGAAACATGGGGCTTCACGTTTAGTCTGTGAAGTTCCTGTAGACATGATGCTCATTTTATACGATGGAGTTGCTAACGTCACATCTGATCCTTCTTTTTTACCGGACCTACTGCCAGCTAAGAGAGGTTTAGGACTATATAGGCCAGGAGTCGAACCCAAACGACGTAGGTGGCGTGGTTCGCGAGCATTCTTCTACCATAGAACCACCGATGCATTATGTGATTACGTACGAAACCGTTTAACTGAGTTTAGTCATTAGAAGGTAGGATTCCTCGTGTACCGGTATTGATTGAAGCATCAGTTTTCATTGTTTCTCTTACTGAAGTTACTTCGTAAAGTAATCAAACCCAGAAAACAATCAATTCTCTAAGACTCAAATCTCCATCACTGGATGAAGACTTAAGAACTGTAATAACAAGTATGGAGCTTGTAATCTGTCGGTAATGCAACTGTTTATTAGTTATGTAGGACAGATAGAATAGTAAGGCATGTTTGTACGAGCAATTTCGGTCCTGATATAATACTTGATCGTTATATGTTTCTGTAAGGTTTGACGTGTCGACGTTTTAAATGATGAAAACGCTCATTAATAAAACACACCTGCTTTGAGGATTTTCTGATTAATTGTCTGTAATACATACGTAAGAATACTTAGTATCTTGAAATCTAATGAAGGGTTAGGTATTTCTGACAATTAATTGATGAAAATTAATTTATGTCTTTATAGTAACATTTTGTGAATTTACTCGAAATTCTTTTATTCAAGAAAATATTATTGTTCGATAGAGAGCACTTACTTCAGAACCATTAGGTTGAGAGGTAACCATAACATCACAATCTAGCACTTTGCAGAGACATCCTATTTGTGAGTTAGTGATTCAGCGGTAGAGTGCTTGCCGGCTACGCTAGTGGTTCAGTTTCGATCCCCGGCCGACACACTCCTAGACCTGGCCAACTGGTAATAACCAAGAAAAGAGCGAATATTGGGAGTGAAGCTACTATTCCCATCCAGTAAAAACAACACCGCCGCTATTGAAACCTCCGAGCCTGTAGCCCTGTGTTCCACTCGGAGGGCAAGGAATGGGAAAAGAAACTGTTAGACAGTTTCTAAATAGGAGGGAGAAAAGCTGTTTATTGCTAGTGTCAGCTTGTAAAGCAACCCACCCTAAAGTCAATCCGATTTCTACGAATCTAACAAATTTATTGATTCACTGAAAATGTTAGAAGTATTTAAAAAATTAAGTTGGAAAGGAAATATCGCAACACAATTGTTTATGTGGATAGATAGATTTCACCAGTTCATTATAATTACAGGTAGCAGTGTATTACACATAATGGCCCTTTAGTTGTTTAGTTAGTCATTCTACGTTTAGCAAGCCAGTGGGTTTTGGGCTCGAACACAGCTCTCCCCTTCTCTCTCTCTCTCTACCAGAAATTAGCAACATAATTAGTCACTATCATACATAACAATTATTTTACAAAAAAAGACAACTATAAGTGCTTTACCGCAAAGAGAAAAACAACTCAAAACTAATTGAAAATATAAATTAAATATGCAAAAGCCATTACCCTCCACCAACGAACACAAGTAAGTGGACTAGGGCGACAAAGATAGCGTTGAGTTAAACGCAATTTTGGCCTATGTCCATGGCCAGACTGACGACTTGCAACAACTTCAGCCCAATCTAATTCACGTTGAACTACAGAGTACGATGTAAGTACAACATCGGCACATGCTAATTGAGCCGGTTGAACAAAACCAGGGAGAATTGTTTTTTCATGAATTTTATCCTCCGAAACAACTTTTGCAGAAACATGGGTACGTAAAGCAAAAGGATTTGTGTTTCCCTGCTCTTTAACAGATCCACGAATTCCAAGGTCAACACATGTCACAGGAGCCTCCATACCGGCATAAATCTGAAAAATAAAGAAGCAAGACAACATTAACTCAGTGTAAGTTATTGGCAAATAATAATCATGATTTACAAGATAATTTGGCGCAACTGTTAGCTTAGTTACTCCTCAGTTTGATATTCTAACGCATCAAACGGTAGCCAGATATCCGAATGCGGGTTCATTGGTTTGCTTAAGTGTTGATGAACTTGACTGGTGAGTTACTAACAGGAGCTAAGAATTACAAGGGGTTATTGGGTATACAATGACCAAATACGAAGGCACAATACTTTAGTATCATATAAAAACTAATGAAGGTCGAATTCACGGGAACTAAAGATGAGAATAGATGTAAACTATGAGGCAGTGAACAAATCAAGTGATATAAAAAAATAAGCACAGACCGAATTCTTCAAAATAAATGCAGCTACAGGGATTCCGTCTGTCTGTCTGGATTCAACATAAAACTTGGCACCGAAGTGCGCCAGTTCGAGTTGCCACGTTCCAAATAGCACACACACAAAGGTAGACAAGAAGATGAGTGAAGAGAATCAATAGAGTTTGACAGGTATAAGAGCGAAACAGAATGGGTAATGGTAGAAAGAAATATGAAAGATTACAGAGACTGAATACATCTGAGCCATTGACAACGATTTTGAGCCATGTCACCTATTGTCTCCAGCCATTGATTCCTAGAGTCCCGAGGGCCCCAACTCGGGAGTCTGCATCTCCCTGACTGACTCAGTTTAACTGTCAAGGATTTCATGGATTGATGAGGCCATGTTTTTGTTTGGCCACCACTGGCTGTTTTCCAACCTTCACCTATATCAGCTAGCAAAGCCCGTCGGGGGAGGCGGTGGTTAGGCATGCGCACCACGTGACCTAGCCATCTTAGTCTATGTAACTTTATAGCCTCGTCGATTGATTTTCCCTCTTTGCCCAACACTCTACGCCTAACGTCAACATTACTTATCTTGTGAAACCACCTAACGTGAGACAGAGATCGCAGACATCTATGATCGAAAGCAGTCAGTGAGAAAACACTTACAGATCACCACAGAACCCATATCTACAAGATATGAAAAAGAATTCCATGATAAATCCCTTTTAAAGCAATTGGTGTCTTAGTTGTGACACTAAGAAAGCAACCTATCTAATAAAACAGCCACAACTAATCGACAACCGAGAGCCAGAAAAGAACAAACTAACGGATCGACCATTCAATTCACAACTATTCAAATATTCAAAATCTAAACAAGAAACATCCAACTAACCTTCATAGTGTATCGAAGAATTCCACTGGAAATCGAGGTAAAACACAAATTAACTTGGAGAATCTTTCTACTGAAAAAATTCTACAACACTTAACTATGACTACGTAATTCCAAGAAGTTATAATCACATGTTATACACTGTGAAAAAATTAAGCAAATTAAATAATCAGTAAGGTAGTTTCGTTGTGGAACCAGTAGACACTGACAGCCAATAAACTAGTCATTTGTATGAGTTCACAGACAGGAGAGTACATTTAATACTTACAATATTATTTGATGTAAAGTTAGATAGCAATCACATCAGTCTACAGAGCTTGGATAATTATTTCCGAGGAAAACATAGAAATATATGGTCTTAAACTACAACTGCTCTTTATCTGTTGAAAGAATTAAAGGAAAATTCTAAAGACACCTAAAAATAAACATTTTTTCTCATTTCTTCCAGTTCTGAATAAAATATAGGGATACAAGCTTTGCTCTTTGAGGCTGCAGTAACTGTAGTGTCATTCTGTTTTACACAGTGGCCCTTCTAGTGTCACGCCTAACCTTCCCTCTTTAATGGGCTTACTACTATCTAAACAAGGGACAACGCTACACGTGATCCTCCCTACTCCCACAAGTAAGCAACAATTAAAACAATATTATTTCACTTTCGAATATTGAAAGTTTTCAAAGTAATGAGAAAAAAATATCATAAAACAATTCCAACAGTGGTGTGAACACGGGCAGTAATTTTGCTCGAAATATTACCAATAACAAAACGTATCATTGTGTGTAAACTATTGAAATATAATTAAACTTTATTTTAAAAATATTTTCTTAATTCATGAACTCACTAATACTTGTAATGCATCAGATGAGACATGTGTCTGTAACTCTTCTTTCCATTGTTGCCAAATATGATCAGGGGAGATAATCAGCGTAGCTTTTGAATATATTCGAACCTAAATAATTTGCATGAAAGAATGAATAGTCTCGGAACGTATGCTTAATCATAACTATCAATAGACTATGAAACAAACAATAAATAATATTTCCAGAAATTGTTGAATACGGTGTAAGACGGGTTTATTCAAGTTTATATATGTATACCTGACGACCTGCTTAAATCACTGGGGTTGCCTAATTTCCCATTCATCAGAATGCATTTTATTTACACTACTTCGTATTGTTTTAATTATCCAATTATGTCTTTGAATCACAATCTGTAATGTTGTCTTATTTTCAAACCGGTTTCCAATCTACCACTATGGATTTTTAGAAGGAAATGGAGAAAATGTTTAGTACGTTATTAGAGCGTATTTTGGATAGAACAATAGAGCTTTATCAAAATTGATATATCGCCACGGCGTAAATATTTAGCAATAGAATAAACTGGGAATTCTACAACATAAATTAAAGTATTTCTTCAGAATAAAGTTATTATTATTGATTTAACCAAAGGTATACGTTCTATCTAGTCGTAACTACAACTTATTACAATTTCTGGCCGTTAATTTATTAACAAGTGAAGATAAACAATAATGCATAGAGTTAAACTTAAAATTCAACAACTGGAAATTAATCCAGTACTCACTAGTCACTGACTACAGGACGAAGTTACCTGGAATTATAATGAGAAGTCGTGACAAGTGAGACCTACCAGGTCAGGTGTGAGAATTAATACGTACCGATGACATTAGTTGACAGTCGCATTATAAATCGCAAGTTGACATAAGTTTGAATTACTGGGCTTTTAGAATCCGTCCGCGTGGTTGAATGGCCAACGGACTCGCTTTGCAAATCGAAAGTCTCGGCTTCGATCCATGGTGAGGTTACAAATGCATACTGATGAACAGTCACAAACTAGGACGATCCCTGGTTTTCGAAGTTTCCCTAACTGGTATTAATCTGTGATTAATCTTGAAAGATCAAAATGAAAATCGTGCTTAGGAAATTCAACGGGAAATGTATTTTAGTTGTTCCATCGGTTCCTTTCCTTTGTTTTTATACCACTGCACTTGAAAATAGGCTACATAATTCAAAGTTAAAGCAATACAAACTTACAGGGTTTCATCATGAGCTGACCCTAGTTAGAGAACCATTGGAAAACCTGGGAGTACTGGACAGCTGTTTCGTCCTAGTTTGGGACTCTTCAGCAGTACGCACCCACCGGGACTCGAACCCAGGGCCTTCTGATTACAAGGCGAGGTGAGTGCGTACTGCTGAAGAGTCCCAAACTGGGACGAAATAGCTGTCCAGTACTCCCAGGTTTTCCAGTGGTTTTCTAACTAATGTCAGCTCATGATGAAATCCTGTAAACCAATCAAATCCCTACAAACTAACACTTGAATATCAATACAAACTTAATTAATTAATTAAAAGTTGAGAATTATAACGCATGATTTTGAAAAGTTACCGCGTGCACAACTTTTATTTTTAATACCCTCTCAAAAGCAAGAATGACAGTTTTGTAGATTAAGATTAACTTATTGTGTTCGATTGTCTAAACCAGACACAAGTTATAATTGTTTCATCATTTGTATACCTTAAACTCCATGTAAAACATAGGAATTCAAGCTTGAGACTGTAAAATTTCCATGGTTGTGTTGTTTTTTACGGAGTGGGTTTACCAGCGTCAGGCACAAACTTCCATCTTCTACTGACTAGTGAAATAGGTGAGGTCTAAGAGTGCGTCGACCGGGAATTGAACCATGAATTATGTTTGTGATCGGTCAGCATTGTACCCCTAAACCACTGACGCAAGTTACATAATGAAGAGAATGATTTTTTTTGAATGACTAGTAACATATTTTAAGGCTGATAAGTGAATAGTCAATTAGAAAGTAAATACAGTTGATTGAAAGTTAACCACTAAACGAAAGAGGTAATGAGAACTCTTTCATCTTCAATGCTGAAGATGTTGTCTAGAAGGACAACGAAAGTTTTGCAATTATATCAACCAGCCTAGAGAACACAACTAATTCAATATCATCCACCTGAGCTACAAATCTTCTCCGTTATTTCAAAGTCTTGCCTTGATTGATTCACAGTTCTTATGAAATAAAGCTAATGCATTAAGTGTAACTAATACACTTAAACTCCTCAAAACGGTTTATGTTTCAGCTATCAAACTTAAGAACGAATGCTTGTTTTTTGAGCTATTATACCTTAAACGAGTAGATAACTCTTGTCAACATGAACATAACTATCCTTAAATATGTATTGTTACTCAAAATATACATTTGTGATGAATACAACTTGCAATTATAATTTATCAATCCAAAACTCACCTTGGTCCAACACTCTGGACATACATATCCTACTTTAATTGGAAGGCGATTTATATATTCTTTCGGATTATATTGTACACACGCCGCGTGCTGACTAGGACCATTGCATAGGGAACAGTTGACGACATCAAAATCTTCAGTTTCACTTACACCACCACAAGTACAAAGAATGTGGTGTCATTAAGCCGTTCATTTATTATACAGGGATCGTCGTCAGTAATTTCTGAATGGTTCAAATCAAATGGTTGGTCCTCAAGTGATCGTAAATGGCCACCTACTTCCCCCCAATCACTTAAAGGGTGGTTTAAAATTAGAGAAATAACTTCCAAAGTCTTCCCAAGTCCCATTTCATCCGCCAAAATCCCACCGGAACCGGTGTACTCAATTGCCGGTAACTGTTTGGTAAATCTAAGGAAATTATATACAATTTAAAGAAAGTAAAACGTTAAGATCTATACTTAGTGGGATACAGAGATCTTTTAATGATAAGGCAAAAGTATTTTTTAGAGGAAATAGGCAAAGAATAAATTATCCGGCATATTCTTCTCTTAGATTTGATGATAATATATTCCCTATTGCTTGGATACTTAAATAAAGGTATGAAAGATAAACTTGATAACAATTAGAAGAAAGCCTAAATGTTGCTCAAAAACTGCTAGTATATAAATGCATCCGGTGATAAGCTAAACCTACTGTATGAGGGTTAATGATACTACTTGGATGCCCAAACCTCCGTGGGACGAGCGGGGTTCGGACCCATGACCCTGTGTTTGAAGCCAAACTCCTACACTAATGAGCTTGTAGCGGTAAATAATTGCCCAAAACTGTTTACCACAGCACTCATCATTGAACATTGGATGCTCACCCTCACTGTTTAAGTCAACTTGTTTAGGTGAAGTCTTCCGGTCAAGCATCCACGCCATCGTGACACGTTCGTTCGTGCACGATCCCTAGCCAGCTAAGCAATCATCTCGCACTCCGATTTGGTTCCGAAATATATCTCGTAATTTGGACGATCAAATAATGTCTTTTGCTTTGCCTTTGGTCTACGCGGAACGAATACTATAGATGTTATGGGAGTTAAATCTTGCGTTAGTATACTTCATACTCTCTGTGAACGTCAATACCATCAGTCTCTAAAAGCTATAGATACACTCTTAGGGATACAACTATTAAAAACTGAAAAGGAACCCACCAAAAAGATGTTTTCCACTTATTTACTTAGCTACTGTAACTGAGGGCAGACTTGACAAGTCATTTTATGGCTGGTAAAAAGATTCTTTAGTGTCTTAGGGAACAGAAATACTACTTACAAATAAATCCTGTTGAACCTTATCTCATATCATCACCCTGAATGAGGCAAGAAAGCTAATACCAACCATATTAGGAGTGTTGATTGACTACCTGCCTGCCTGAGTTTCAACATAAAACTATATATATATATATATATATATATATATCATCTGTCACACGAAAATACACATATTTGTATATTAGTATTTATTAATGGTATTGGTAACTGTAGAAGTCAGTCCTACTAATAAATTCCTTAAATGCAATTTTTATTTTTTTTATTTTTCCTTCACGTTCCCCAGTGGAACATAGGGCTTCAAGCTAGTGGCTTGAAGTTTCTGTAGCAATGTTTATTTTACAGGATGAGGTCGCTAGCCTCATGCCTACCTATTCTACTTTACTGTTCCCCGTTAGTCTTTCCTGGGTTACTGAAAAAGGATTATACCATCCTGAGAAGGTGTGAGGTTTAGAGAGGAAACTCACAATTGGAAAAAAGAAAACCCCCACCCTCCACCGAAAAAAAACATTGAACTCCCGTGTTCTAAGTGACAGAGACAATGTTAGGCGTGAAACCTATGACTTGCTTTGTTGTTAATAACATAATTTTGGCCCTTGTTATTTCCCCCTTACACTCTCTTATTTGTACTCTATAGTGAACAACCTTCTTAAACATACTTAGCTGCTTAAAATTATTATCATTGGCTTACTTTTTATTCTTTATTCTATTCCTTTTTATACATCTACTGGGTCCGACTGTATTATCACTATGATTATTAAAAATTGTCCCGTCATTAACCATCATGTAACATTAGTTTTGTGGTTGTTCTTTGTTCGGCACTATTTAACTGACAATCTTGTTTGTTATTGCCACTATCCACATCTTAAAAAAAAATTTTGTATTATACATGATTCCTCACACTACCACTACAAACAACCGCATTAGTGCTGACAATAAAAAAAAAAACACAACCTGAAATGTTTATCTTATGATTGCTTAGTGTTGTTCAATCAGATTAACTGATCATCTTAGCTATAAACATTTTTTTAAGAACATCTCATAATTCCCCGTATGATTATAGCTGTTACTGTTCACCACGCATACTCATATCGTAGCTTCCACTAACCAATACTGAAATATTTTTTCATTATTTGTGTTTATCTTCCTTTTTACTTGGCATTTTTTATTGCATTTTTTTTGTTATTTCTGTGTTTCTTTTTGGTTTTTTTGTTGTTATTGTCTTTTTTTGTTTTTTTTTTTTTTTTTTTAAAATTTTTTTTTTTTTTTTAAAAACCTTTTTAAAAAAAAATTAAATTTTTAATTGAAAAATTCCCACTCCAAAATTTTTTGGAAAAAAGAAAATTTTTTTTTTTTTTTTTTTTTTTTTTTTTTCAACCTTTCCTCTTTACCAGCATTATTTCTAGCTCAGCGAAGTAAAGGAGTGCGTCGGCCGGGGATCGAACCTCGGACCATGTGCATGGTAGGCGAGCATCCTAACCGCTATACCACCGACGCACATTCACACCACGATACACCCATTGACTGGGCATTGGTTTTCAGGAGAACCAAACACACGCATCCTTGCCTCTTGCGAGACGAGAACGGCCTGCAGGATCAACCTGTGGCGCAACCACTCGAGAGCCCTCTCCCTTGGTGGACCACTTAAATGCAATAAGTCCATATATTAAATGTTTAACTGGTGTACTTTTGTATAGGTTTAGTGATCAACAGACTGAGTGAATGAAGAATAGTCTAAACGAAAGCAGGAAAGCTGTACCCAATAGTTTTTTTTGAGTGACACCGCATAACGGTGAGGTCCAAACCTCATTCCTATCATTATTCGAATGAAAACTTAACAAACATTAACTGCTGTCTTAGGAACCAGTGACACCCGAAGTTAGCAGATCATTTTTTCAGAGCATCGATGTGTTGTCACAAATTTAACTGATATGCGTCTGATGTATGACACTATTTCTTTGTGAAGTGAAGCTTTTGAATACGAACTGTGCACGGGAACTTCACCCAGTGTAAAAATATTGGTTAATGAAATAAAGTATGTAGATATATTAACTACTTAACTTTTCCAAGTCACTATTGCTACATTTTGAAATTTTTTCTCCATCTTACCTCATCTGATTGAAGGACTTTAATAAAAGCATATTCCTGGGATTTAGCTTTCAGTATATTTCACTCAGCATTATCATAGATGTTATGACCAACTTCAGTGACTTAGGGACTGACTTGTTATCAGGAAACAGTCTTGTCGGTTTAAAGTTTGTGGATGTTATTTTCTAAGTAAATGCTGACAAGATGGTTATTAAAGAATACTTTGCTTAAAGGTTTTAGATCACTCCGGAAAAGTTACGGAATGAAGTGAATAGAATAGCTTAAAACCATGCTTATTTATAGTATTCCATGGTGATATTTATCTCCGTCCAAAAGCAAGAAAACTGTATAGAACTTACTGTCCAGAGTAAAGACAAAAATAGAGCACATTTTTGTCATTTGGCAACTCAATGTTAATGAACATTCTCTGCAACACGTCATCTTCCAATGAAAACCCGTTGCATTCTTGATAATGCATCCACTTAACAGCATCGCATTGATAAGGACGCAGCAGTGTGAGTAGATTCTTATGCTGTGGGTTAAGGGAGGGAGAATCCCAAAAGACTTTTGTTTCCTTGTGGTGGATTTGGGCAATATTATATAAAGATTTTAACATTATCACAAATTCAAGTTGAGTCTCGCATTGATGTTCATACACAAGTAATTTACAAGATGAAGGGAAATTGACATTTCCGCTACACAACAATGTGATAAAGTCATGCAGCTTCTCATACTGTTGACCGGATATGGGTTTGGAAGATAACTCAAAAGTCTCAGAAATAAAGGATTCTTTTAAGTAGATATCCAGGTATATTGAGTTCTGTTCGACCCGGACGTGACACTGGAGACTAGAAGAGGACGCAGCATACAGAAGAGGTATGATTGAACCAGCGTCTGGAATAATATATTCCTTTACGTCGCTCTCATGAACAAAGAATAAAAGGGACCTATCATTGAAGAAAAGCGTGATTTTATCGGAAGAATCAACAGCCGCTGATAAAAGACCACTGGTTGGCAATGTAATTGTCTGGAGGAGACAACCAGATGTGTTTTCGTGACGACGTAGAGTCAGGCTATGTGGATAAAGTTGTATTATTTCCTTTTGTTCATTGGAAAGTATTTTTTTGTTAACTGACTTATTGCTCCTTTTGACAACATTTATACCCAGATTTGGATGATACAAAAAACTTCTTGAATTTCGTTTATTCGTAGATAGGAACAATGGTGAGCGTTTCACCCGCATTATAGCCGAACTTTAGATAAACTTAATTGCTACTAATTATTACAAAACACCAAATTATGTTAAAGGATTTCTGTTGTACACGAAGTTACGGATTACCGAAGATTATAAGATATAGCCTGAAATTTCATCCAGTTAGTAAAATGAATTTTGGCATACCGGAAGTATTCGTGACACAGGAAATAATATTATCGCGATAACAAGTAAGCACTTAGAACGCAGACTTATGCAACAAGGACACTTTGAAACTAAATTGTTGTTCAGACCCCTCAAGGCCACAGGCATTTGGGGAAGTCAAACAAAGTTTTGGGGAAGACATTCAGGGAGTTGAATACAAGTGTTCTTCAGATACTGAGGTTCCTCACATCATCAAACCTCAAATCGCGTACGGAAGGTGAACTTTAGAGTAGATCACAACTCCAAGATAGTTTTAACGACAACGATAATTTGTGTCAGCAGACTTCAAAATCCAACATCGTTTCAACGAACTAGTATCAACCAATTTGATTTCTCTGTGCTCGACTCTTAATTGTGAGGTATAGGTCCCTGATCCTCGGCAAACTTCTGCCCTTCGACTGTCGTAGCCTTGGTTGCCTCCAAAAGGACTAGTCCTGGGATTAATTATATGTGGCTTGTAACATGAGGTGTGTTAAGGCTGTTACTACTGCGAATGGAGTTGATCCTTTCGCCAGTTAGTCCTCCAGTATCGTCGCCAAAAGAAAAGAGGTAATAATAATAGATATAATTGGTGAAGTTATTCAGATTAACAGACAGAAAAAGAAATAAAGGAAACGTAAAACAAACAGCTGGTTGAATTTGAAGTTTAAATATATATGTACATATATATATATATATATATATATATGTATATAAATATGTATCAGTAATGATAATAGGTGTAGCTAGAGTTTTCAGGGGAGTAAGACGTGAGAGAATGTAAGGAAGTAAAACGACGAACTTAGTTGTCTACCCCGAATAGTGTATGGGATTTTAAGGGGACAGGCCAATTGGAAGCAGTCATTGTGTCACTGCGTGATTGTCCAGCCTTCACTTAGAGGCGTCCAAAGACGGTGCCATAGCTACATCTGCCGGTAAGGAATTCCAGGGACGGCAAACCCGCCGTGGAAAGAAGTGGGAGCTCACTCGGGTCCTTGCCCACTGGTGGGTTATCATTCTGAAATTTCCACGAGGAAGCCCATATCTACTCAATGGCAGAACACCTTTTTTTGGGTGATTCCGGTCATTTGTTATCTTGTAGGCAGTAATCAGAACCCAACTAAACCAATGTTAGCCAAATGTGTATAGCCTTTCATCATATGATTCATTTCGGAGCCCAACCACTCCTTTTGTCGCCCGCCGTTGGACTCTTTCCAGGAGGTTGGCGCCTCTTCTAAGCAGTGGGGACGCAATAATATCATGCACTTCAAAGTATGGCCTGACGTATGTTTTGTACAACATTAGAAAGAGCTCAGGAGTGAGTGCACCTAGCTGTCTATGTGTAAGGTGTATGACCGCATATACCCTCACCACGTCCCCCGTGTAATTTACGCTTGTGTCCATTTTTGTCAACATGGACTGGAACATTCATATCCCAGAATGGTGTCCAATTGTCCCAAGTTGATAGCAGGTTTGTTACACAGTATCTGTCTTTCCTGAAACCGCGTCGGGCTTCATTCGAGTATGTTAGGCCTGTCGAGGTAATCCCTCATGTGATCGTCAATAGAACTTTCCAGCACTTGATATTATTGTGACTAGAGCTACTGGTCTATAACTAGTGGCATTTCACTTATCCCCCACCCCCTTGAAGATCGGAGAAAGTATGGGTATCTTCAACTTCCTTGGCAGTTTCCACGAATCCTTCGAGTGTTGGAAGAGGTCGCATAAGGGCCCGCAGAGAGCTACGGTGCACTGTTTCAGAACAGATGGGCTGATGATTTCACAACCTGTAGACCTTCCATGTGTGAGTCCCTGTAGCACGTGTGACTTCGTAGGTTATATGTTGGATGAAATTGGGAAAGATATGACAAAACCATTCGAAATTATTCCAATGCGCCTCAGAAATGTAAATAAATTTTTGGAAGTGTTTCTTTGTGTAGGCGGAAGCCTCTTCAGACAAATTTTTCGAATTGCGTTTAAATCAAGTTTAACCGCACTTTTAATAATTGCACTCGCTTTAGAGTGATTTGCGGCTGGATACTCGTATAATAGAATCAGTTATCTAACAAACCTTTAACGGTCGACGGCTTGTAGACAAAGTGTTACTTAGTGAAAATTTAAATATGCTAATATACCTCTCCTTGCATGATCGACCCCGTTACCTGAATATCCTAGATCATAAGCTGAATAATAGATAATCACTTATTACATTAGCCTGGTGAGAGCTCAACCCTTAGGTGAAGTTCATCCCTTCTCTCCGCTTTCAGCGTATTTCAAACACTCCAAGATCCAGTTTCCATCGTTTCTATAATTCAATAATAATAATGTACATATTTCGTATAAGTGGGTAAGTTTATTTTTAATGCACGCCATTTTTACAGACACGATCAATTGTGTTGTGAATTAGAATACATCATCACTTTTTAAAAGTTCAAATTGTTGAATTATAGTACAAGTAATCTTAACAGATTCTGATAATTGTTAATTTGTAAATCTTTCACGAAGATCTCCATCGAAGTTGAGCGACAACCCAAACTTCGTTCCATTTCCTGACGATAGTAATGACCCATCGATAAACAACATATATTTGAGTGAGAGCTATGACCCCACGTGCTTCAACGCTATTTCAGGAAGAGGAGAAAATCGTGCACAGCTGTGAAGTGTTATGAAATGCGATCATAAATAATACATTATTGGAAGTATATTTTCAAGAAAAATACAGTACTTGAAATGACAGTACACATTTGCAATGTATGATGCTAACCATATTGTTCTTCCCATGGTAAACTATGACGTTTTCTATGAAAACATGGTTATTCTCAAACATGAGTGTTGTTGTTATGTTTTTTTCATCATCAGAGCAACCGAACTTCATGCGATAGAAGATTGTGAATGAGAACGAAAAGTAAATTTCAGCTTTCTTAAAGGCCTAGGAAGTTGAGATAAAATAGAGTATAATAGTAATTAGATAGAAGGATTCTCGTGAAGTATAAAAGTTACATTTCAGGGAGAAGTGGCTTGAAGGATTAGAACATATTGGATATGGTGACCTGTAAGATGTCTGGCGAACTTTCGTATGGCCCATGGGGTAGCATCTTGACAAGAAACTGTGCAGGTCTGTAGACGTTAGGAGGAAAAGCGTTATTTTTTAATTAAGCACACTTCTATACCTGGTTGTTTTTTCAGAAATATTATTCATTCAACCTCCTTCTTGAGTAGACTCTTTGTGTTTCTGCTGAGGCCGAACAGATTTTGGAAGTAGCATCCAAAGTATTTTCCAATGACCTTTTCCAACGAAAGCCCGTCTTATCTGCAGAAGGTCGGGTTCTAAATATCTAAACAAATAAATAAATTTATTCTCACAGTACAGTACATGAGGGATGCCAATTTACAGCCATCATCAAATTTTTACAGAAATAGAACCATGTTATTCAATCACAATATACAGCCGGTGGCAAGATATGTTTAACATGTACGCTGGAGATCATACATACACTCGATAAATGTTAATCCCAGTAGTATAAAACATCCTCTTCACTTATGTACAATCATTTCTGTGCACAGTTGTAAAAATCTGCTAGATTGTTAGTGAGTGCAACACTTCAGGAAATACAGAAGTATTGTCTTCGCATTAACAAAAAAACCAGGTCTTTGGTGGATGGGTTATAAGTGCTTGGGAAAAAAGCTTGAAGCCAATTTTCATATATAATTTTGTTGCAAGCAGAATCCTTGAATTATAGTTCATTGATGTGTTATTTTGAAATCAGTGATATGTTTATCCCATTTGATCTGCAATATCATTGTTGGGAGTAAAATACATAAGCTTTAGACGCATTAATTAATGGATTTCTACTGCTTGTGGGTATTTTCTTCGCGTGAGGATGGTTTATGAATGTCAGCTGTTCCGACAGGAGTTGTAAATATTAACTGTTCAGCAACATTATGGATATAAGTTCATCACATTATCTTAGGAAAGATGGGTTGTAGTTGGTGAGGCATATGTGATGCCCGTCGAGCGTACATCTGTCCATGTGATGTTGTGGTGAGTTATACCTTTTCATGTTGTCGGTTTATGTCGATTTTATTCCACTTATAGTGTTGAGTAGAAGTTTAACAAACGAAATTTCTTGTCCGCTTGAGGGCAATTATCTTAATCGTTTATGTTTTATCTAAAATTATAAATATAGGCAAAAAACAACAGGTGTGCTATTTAAGCTTATACATTGAAAGGACCTATAATTTCGGAGGCTCTCAGATAGGAACTAGAACTACTATCGTTTACAAACCCCTGTAGTTTGTTGTTAAGCACTTTATTAAGGAGATCAGTGTACTTGCTTGACGCATTTCCACTGGTAGTTTTTTCCATATCCGGGAATACTTATTCAAGTAAAACTTTTCTCTGCTGGCTGTTTTACATTGTTCGATAGGTACTGTAGCCTTAGCGTGTCTTAGTTTTTGGGCATTGTCATCTGATATTCGGGTGCCATTAGTAGAGGCAAAAGCTAAGTGGTTTAGAAGCTTATATTAAAGTGTTAAGTTTAGTCTCAGGCGTCCTAGACATAGTGTTTCTAGTCCTAGGGTGTCACATCTAGTGGAGTATTTCGCACCATTTTCGGTTACGAGTAATTTTGACGTGAAGTACCTCTGCATTCCCTCGACTTTTAATTTGTCCTCTGTGCGTATACTACTATACATGAATGAACAGTAATCAAATAAAGGATGCACACAAACCTTGTACAACAGAATTCTGGACTCATTTCTGCAGAAGTTCCTGAGTAGAAAGCCGATAAGTCTGCGTGACTTTGACACTTGTTTGGAGATATGTTCAGAAAATGATAAGTCATGTG